TACTGCTTGGAAATAGTATGCGATTAATAGAACACACCAATCGTAAATTAGACGATAGGTCCGGCCCATATGCATAGTAGCTAAGGCCGGCATGGGTGGTACTTGGGAGGGGTTCACGAGGAGCGATTAATCGCAGATTCGATTGTCGGCACTTCATGCGGCGGGCGCACTTCTTGCTCCTTCCACCCACCTGCTTTATACAGAGCCACAATTTCTGCGATTCTCTTCCGCCTGCCCTGACTGAAAGCCTACATTGAAACATCGGGAAGCACAAAGTAATCGCCGATTCCAGACCATCTGTCTCTCGGGTGGCTTCAGCTATCCACGCGTCACCCGACGACTCACAATTCGTGCCCGGCCGCGACGCCAACTCGGGAGCGTATCCTCGCCATGACGATATCCAAGAGCACACCATGACCACAACACATAGGAACAAAATCGATAACGCCACTCATCGTCTCGAAGTACATGAACCCAGGTGTTCATAAGACACCGTTGAGCGTGCCCCCGGGAGTGCTCGGTCGGGTCCTGCACACAGGACTGCTGTGCGGCAATTCTGTCGAGCAAGAAGGTTCTAGCCAAACCGAATAGCAAATGATATCCAGTGACTCAATGATGCAAGGAGACGGCTGGTGAGGGTTTGTTGCTCAGTCCAGTGGTAGAGATGTGAGCGACAAGCTCGGCGGGGCAGGGACGGGGGTGGCGTGCTTATGTTGGCGGATCTGGAGAGGGTGAGGGCTTTCCATGAGTAGATATCGACCTGGTACGCCGCCTTTCTATCCATGGTCAGGGGCTGCCGCTGCGCAGATTCCTCACGCCGGTCGTTTGAGGCGCAGAAAACTCAGATCCATGGTACGATTGCCGCGTTTGATTTTGGCATGCGTGCATCCGTTATGAGCTGAGGGGACGGTGGTGGACCGTGGTTGGCCGGAAGTATTACCTGGGCGGCGCCGACTAGGTCGGACCTACCATCTTGAGAACTACTTCCGCGAACCTCGCGCCTTCCGCGGACGGAGTATGACTTAAACTCTAGCGGGCAACTCTGCTCGACCTGTACTCACTGCGTTTTGTGTAGAGCATGCGCCGCCGTGGCGTTCGAGCGTCTAGAGGCCCTGTTGAGGCCACTATGTGCGGTCTCTCCATGCAGTGTTTTAAGCACAACGTCGAAGTCGGTGCGCACCTCCCTGACGAGACCAGATGGCGGTGAAGAACAAGGCTGCAGCAGCTCGGCTAGGGAGCGTCTGGGTGACTACATTTGGCATCTGTATGTGGACCCACAAGAGCATACAGATACTTAAGTTGAATTTTCCAGCCGTTCGCTTGCTGCCTGATTCCCACCCCCGGCGCATCGTCCGGTGCTCATTTTGCAGCCTCTGTGAATATTCACTTTGGCTCTGTGGGTCCTTCTCGCCGCCCTACTCACGCATGCCCGCCTCCAGCCCCGACCGGCCCTCTGAACCGAGCGCGGCGACTGGCACATCTCCATCACGCGCCATCTCTCAATCCCCCGGCACAGCAGCCCAATCAGCATGACATCCATGCCACGATCCCGAGGGGTACGCGCTCCAGGGAGCACGGCATGCCCGTCGACGTTACACCGTCGCCTGACGTCCCTGGCGGGCCTCCGCTTCCACCACCGATGCCAGAAATTCGGCCACGCCACGGCCAGCTCGGCACACATCTGAACCATCCGGAAGAGTTCTCGCCCCCGGCAGACGCGCCTACTCCCCGCCCGCCACCTCGGGATCGCCCGTTCGACCCGCTGGACGATGCATTGACCTCCCAGGGACTTGCGCCTCGTTCCTCGCACCCTGTGGCGCGTCGCGGATCCGCCGCATCGCAGGTATGCGCCTCGTGTCCCGATGTCGATGTCACTTTCGAGTTATTGAGCGATCTCACAGGATGAGTTCGAAGAGGGAAGCAGCAGAGGGCCGGGCAGGTCAGCAGATGGGGGTGGGAAGGGAAACGGAGAGGACGAGGTGATGGGCCACTCGGATGATGGATCATCTCTTTTTGCAACAAGGGGGCGAGACTCAGGACCAAGCGATGGCGGCAGTGGCACACGAGATCAACGACAGCGATCGGTGTCTGGCATGAGTGTGGATGAGCCAGAAATTGCTCAGCCGTCGGAACAACAGCCTGCGCCGGCTCAGTTTCTACTCAGGTCGGTCGCAGACATTAGCCGCATGCGCTATCCTGCGTATGACGCAAGCGGGCGCAGAATCGGGCTCGAACACAGCAACCACTTGCCGCAATTACCTTCGCGAGGGGGAGGAGGCGGTTCGTACTACCGTCCTCGCACGCATAACTATCCAGGGCCGAACGTCAAGACGTCTGACCTACCACACGTGATGAACTTGGATATGCGCATATCTCCCTCCGCCATTGCACCTACCGGCCCCGCCGAGTCGATGTTCTTTCGCACCAACGTCAGGCCTGTTACTCTGCATCCCAATGCGGCTCTACAGGCTCATTTGAAGGCAACATTACCACACAATGCTCCGCCGCCGCCGCCGCCACCACCTCCGCACCCTCCGATTCGCGACCCTGCTGGCCTTACGCGAGCAGTTACTCCTCAAGCTGCAGCTCAGTCCCCCGGACAACTTCAGTCTCAGAGCCAAGCCGACACCCCGACACAGGCTTCTAGTATCCTAAGCCCGTCGATTTCTACAAAGAGTGTCTCAGACGCGCAAAGCCAACGTGCCTCCGAGCCACCATTGTCACCGTCACCCGCTCCCGAACAGTCTCCAGTACAAGCCTCGCAACGGAACCCCCGAGTGCCGGACTTCGAAGTCGAGACACCTGAGATCCCCGACGCTGGCCCAGCCCTGCGCGAGCTGCTGGGTCTCGGCGAAGACGCAGAGATCAGCTTGGATACGCTGGAGGACCCGGAAGACGAGGAGAGACCTAGCTGGTCCTACCCTACTCTCATCAAGCTCGCAATTTATGGGAGCCCAAACAAGCGATTGACCTTGCAGGAGATTTATGCTGCAATCGAGAACCGCTTCAAGTGGTACAGGGCGACCACGGACAAGGCGTGGCAGGTCTGTGCTAATATATGCGTCTGGATAGCTCATCCTCTTATACCACCGCACAGGGTTCTATTCGTCACAACCTGTCACTTAATAAGTGTTTCCGCCTTGTGCCCCGTCCTATATCTGAGCCTGGCAAGGGTCACTTCTGGGTGGTTGATTACTCTCAGGGAGAGGGCAACAAGCGACAGCGGAAGCGAAATAAGAAAAAGACCAAAGCCGAGCTACGGAGGCTGGCTGAGGAAGAGTCGGAGAGACAGCGAGGGAGTATCAGTGGGTCCTCTGAGGAGCCAGAGGAGCGCCCACAGGCTCAGAACGCCAGAGCCACTCCGGCGGCTCGGACAGCTCGGGCTTCCCAGAGCTCTACACACCAGGCTCCAGAGGATCCAGCTGCAGCCGCCGGCGCCATGCCTCCTCCTCCGCCACCCGTGTCGATTAAGCGCCCGATGAGCGCTCCCCGCGGCGGGCTTCCACCAGAGCTCTGGTCAAAGAAAAACGACAGAGGGAGCCTCATGCACCTCGTCAACACCCCACATATCACCACCGCGCCCATGCCACCTGGCACGCCTGTCCCCGGTGGCTCAGGCGACTCCTCATCGGCGGTCGCCGCGCAGCTCGACGACGCGCACATCGACCCGCTCTTGCGCGACCCGCAGCCCGAGGGCGGGCACGTCGTTGGCGAGGGCCGCACGCGCCCGAACTCGCGCACCCCACGCGTCAGGGTGCGCTCTCCGTACCTCTCGCCCGCCCACTTCCCGATCCCGCCGCACCCCGGGCACCCCGCGCCGTCGCCACGCATGAACTGGGCGCCGTACGGTGCGCCGTCGCCCCTGCCCCACGGGAAGCAGCCCGCGCGCAGTATGCTCGCGAGCAACATGCTCGGTCCCGTGCCGCCCGCCGCTGGCCCGTCGTCGGCTGCGACGTTCTCCATCCCCGGCCCTGGTGACGTCCTGCCTGCGCAACCGCCCGAGTCGAGCGTTCGCGAGCAGTCCGGCGACAAACAGCCTGAAGGCGTCCGCCGCTCTGCGCGTGTCCGCGCCAAGCGTGCCGACTATAGGGACTCGCGCGGCTCTGTGTACGCCTCTGCGGGACGTGAGCCTGTGTCCAGCGAATCTGAAGACGAAGCTTAAAATTCATCTCGTGGCATCTCCAAATACGGACACACTTGATCTCATCCATCGTCTATGCAACCTCACGTTTGTCTCTTGCGCCTTGCGCTGTCGAACGCTCTTTCTTGCTTACGCATGCTCAGCTGTGTTTTACTGTGCTTTGCCATATTCCTCGCGAAACCCCCTCCCAGTGCTCATGTTCCCCGTACATACTGCGATACACCGCCCATATTTTCTTGTTTACATACGCAAGTGCTTTTTCATCGATCCTTTGTTAATCTACAACTAATGTGCAACGCTACAATGCTCGTTTTTTATCTTGTGCTTTATGTATCATACTCTAAAATCTGGATGTCAGTGCTTCCTGCCAGCCATTTATTGCTTACGTTCTACTGTACTGTACTGCGGCTGCGTCGTTGCCCTGTATCGTACTAACCGCCGGACTGACGGCGTGCATCACATATCTTACGCTAACGATGCACCACTAGCTACAGTTATGTGAAGCTTAGAGCTCAGAAACGTTGTATTGCTACCCAGGTGGCGAACAGTTAAGGAAAACTGTACGAGTCTACAACGGCCTAATATTGCCATAAGACGCCACGAGATGGTCAAAGCACAGGCGGTCCAGTAAAGATCAGCCTGTATGTGCATAATGTGACATAAATTGATTGAGATTGTATATCAATATGTAGTACGATAGAGCGAGTGTGCGAAACGAATACGTAGAGAGACTAGGGAACGATGCGAGGGTTGCAGGAAAAGACGGTATCTAAAAACGAGTGTCCGTGTGGTACCAAGCGATCGAGAACAACAAGCCGACGAAATGATGAACGAACAAGAACAAAACGAAAGTGTGTGTTACAGGAAAAGTGATCCAGACACGTGCCTTACTGCACGTTCGCAGGTGGTTTCTTGGCAGCCTCCTCGCCATTCACGTTCGCGTCGAATTGCCGAGCGGCAGTTGCGGGAGAGCCGTTGGTAGAGGCGTTTTGAGAGTAAGGGCGCGAACCGGCTGCCTCGCCGGCCGGGCGCAGGCCGCCTTCGTTACCGGGAGGGAGTCGAATGTCGAAGGCGGACGCGCCCGTCATTTGCGGGGTCATTCCACCCATGCCCATGCCCATACCAGTTCCCATGCCCATACCCATTGGGCCCATAGGTCCTATTGGAGGCGTACCCATGCCGCCCATGCCCATGCCCATACCCGTCATCTGGGGCGTCATCATTGGCATGCCCATCATCGACATGCGAGGGTCGAACGACATCCCGCCGGTCATCATCGGGTTCATCTGTGGCGGCACCTGACCGTTCTCTCCGACAGCCTGCGAGCCCGCCGTCGACAACACAGCCATGGCCTGCTGGTACGCCTGGGCCGCCTGTTGTGCCGCGAACATGTGTTGTGGGTTCATCATGCCAGGGTAGCCCCAGCCGCCAGCCATCATCGGGTTCATGCCCATCATCATCATCGGATTGTAGCCCGTGAATTGTTGCGGCACGCCCATGCCACCGTAAATTGAGCCGCCTTGTTGCATTTGGTCAAGCTGCATGCGCTGGAACTCGTCGAGCTTGCGCTGTCTCTCCTCTGCCAGACGCCGTTCCCGTTCCCGTTCCGTGAGTGTCGCGCCCAGGCCACCCTCACGCTTCCGTTCTCGCTCGTGGGCCGTGACGGCGCCAAGAAGACCAGTCTGCGGTGGCGGCGGCTTATTGGGTACATTGATAAGCGATGCACCAGTCTCTCGCGCAAGTTCCTCTTGCCGCTTTGCTGATCGATCCTGCTTGTCTTGGAGACCGGCGGAGAGGAGGCCGTGCGGGGCGAACGCCTTGGTCATTGTGTGTGATGGATTTTCCATTTGGATGAAGGTATCGCGGCTAGGTTCGGGATTGGCGGCGGCGGGATCTCGCTCGAGGACTTGGCTCCACATGTTCTGACGAGCAGCCCCCGGCTGAATGTACTCGGTCTGTGGGCGGAACTGAGGCTGGGGAGAAGGTTGGTGGCGTTGTGTGTCGGGGTAGAACGACCGTCTTGCGCCTTCAGAAAACTGATCCGACACAAAGCGGCGAGGCTGGGGAGCGAGATGGTCTTCTGACGCTGTTGAAAACGAAATGAGCGAAGTAGCCATAGAGGAGCACAGCACTTACCCATTGGTGACAAACCAGGGCCCATCGGAGGATATCCTTGCCCTTGACCTGGCACCTGTGGAAGGTCTCGTGGACGTCGCGGTTGTGATGGGCTGCCCTCTTGAGGATGTGCACCAGGGGACACACCATGCTCTGCCGGCTGCATGGACCGATGCGGCGATCCGAACCCGCGCTGGCCCATCCTTCCACCCCTCGCTGGCGGCCGGTTATCTGAGTCCGAGTCCGCATCTTCGTCCTCCTCGTCCTCCTCCTCTTCCTCCTCCTCACTGCTCTCCCCCCAAGCACCAGCATCCCGAGCTTTCTTCTGACGACGACCATTCGCGCGACCCGGTTGATGAACCGCGGCGTCGTGAGCAGCCTGTTGCGCTTGCGATTTCGCCTTGCGTTCCTCGGCCTTTCGCGAGGGAACAAACGATGAACGGATCGAGGGTGTCGGCGATGTCGCACGCGGCTCGGCGAGGTGTTGGGCCGGCGGGACGGGCGAGATTGGCGGCGGCGACTGTGTCAGCTTCGGTTGCGGCTGCATAGGCGCTTCCTCGCGTTCGAGGAACGAAAGTGCGGCGAGCATGTCTGCAGCGTCATGCTGGTTGCCATGCATGCTCTCGGCCTCGGCCTTTGCGAGGCGGGGCGGGAGGAGGCGAGGGCCACGTTCCTCAGAGGTGCGGTCATCGTCACTCATATTGTCTTCGTCGTCCTCGTCGATGTCGGAAGGAGGAAGGGGAGTCGAGTGTTGAAGCTCGCGTTGGGCAGCCGCAATGGTTTTACTGATGGGAAGATCACGTGCACCGGACGGCCTTCTGGACGCCCTAGCGCCGGGGTCTGGACTGGGGATCGCTCGGGCACCGCCGGGCTTGGCTGTGCTATGCCCGGAGGAACTTCCGCCCCGACTCTGGACCTGCGGCTGAGGCTGGGGAGGGAAGTACGAAGTGCTCGCTGTCGAAACAGAGCCGATTGCCGGACTGGTCGCAGTCGGACTCGTTACACGAGATGGACCCCAGCTCCCTTGACTACGAGCGGTGGCTGCCGGCGTAGGGCTGTACGCGGAGCCACTCTCGCTGGACGTTGTCTCGTCCTTCTCTTCCGAAGGAGGCGGAGGCAACTGACGGCGAGGGCCAACTTCACCTCGCTCGAGCCGCATGTAGTATAGTGCGCCTGCTTCGCGTAAAATCTCAGGTGAAGACTCATCTTTGGATGGAGGCTCCGGTGCCGTCGAACTAGCAGCCGAAGGCGTCTGCTCCATTGGCGCAGCTTGAGGCGTCGGAGACGGCGGGGAAGGTGGAACACGAACGGATTTGGCAAGCTGGGAGGTAGGGGTGCTGAAGGAAGACTGCATACCAGCAGAGATAGGTGTCGAAGGACGGGGCTGGCCGGTATTCGTAGGTGAAGGGAAGACATCCTGCATGAGGGACATCCTGGATCCTCGACGCATAGTAATGGGGGAGACAGGGGACTGAGGGTCTGCGAGAGAGTGTGGAGAAGTCAGTACTGAGAACTGGGGCGAAGGCGGCGCATTTTGAGATTCGAACAGAGACTGTTGAGAGGCAGGAATCGAGGGGCGAGGAGATGCTGGGCGTGAAGAAGGCTTTGCAGCGGCTTGAATGGGCGGCGGAGGCGTTATAGTGAACTGACGTTGTTGTACTAATGATGCTGGAGACTGTCTGCCATGTTCCGTGCTTTGACTGTGAGACGAGTTGGACTCGAACTTCGTATGAACCGCAGACGGTGAAGTAGGTTGCTTTGGGGGAGTGAACGAAGTAAGCTTGGAGTCGGGGCGAGAAGGTGATCCAGCTGTGAAAGAATCTTCGCTTTGTCGCTTGCGGAAGTCAAATTGCTGAATGGTCGGTGGAGGGCTGGATGCTACGGGACTGCTTACCAGCGGCTCCCCAAAGAACGAAGTTATGGGTTTGATTTCCTCTTGAGGGTGATCGAGTGAGCCGTTAACTTGCCCGTTCGAGTTCGGCTGTGCAGCTGCACCCTCTCCGGAGCCAGAACGACTATGTCGCGGGTCGCTCCTCTCGGTGATAGGCGTAAGTGGGCGAGGCAGTTGTGGAGGAATGTCCGGCAGGTCATGGTCCCGAGACATCTCGAACTGAAGTGGAGGTAGTTGCAGTGGTCCGCCAGACACAGAAGCTTGCTGAGAGCTACCCGCAGCAGCGTACTGCTGCTCTTCGCTCTTACGCTCAACGAGAATCTGACCCTCGTTTTTGATGTCACCCATAAGCGTAATATCTGGAAGAGGTGGAAGTGTAGGCGCACCCGTTGCGGGTGATTGGGACTGGTCAGGGCTACCACGCATGCGATCCCACAGGATATGCCGCAGCTGAGCCCGAGCGGAGGACGTCCGGTCGTCTCGTGGATCAAGGTTTTCAGCAAGTTCACGGTCCAGGAATAAAAGCTAAGGAGCTATTAACCTTGAGAAACACCAGTGATTTGGCTAACTCACATCCTTGTGCGGGCCGATGGGATACGCGAACATCATGGATCCGGGATCTCTTGGATCCCAGCTGTACATTTGAGGTCGTCCATATAATTCGAATGCGTCATGAATTGCTGCGCGTACGCATGAGTAACGGCAAGGCCTGTTACGACGAAATTTCACTTACCAATCAGCCATTTGAGCATCTCCGAAGCCCGCGCACCATTGCCTTTAAGTTCCGGCATAACCAAAAGCCACCCTTCTCTGTTTCGCATGGCTCCAGCAACCTCTTCATCACCAAGCATACCTTCGATCTTAAGTAGCGTGCTCCGGCTAATCAACTCCGGTCGCTCCGGATATACTGCAAACGCCTGCGAGACGTCGCGCACCGTCAAGACCGCCTCCCTCCTGTCCTTCGGCTTGTTTGACATGAATAGCTGTAGCATCGGCCTTGCGGGCGCAGGGACCCGTGGAGGGCTCTGGTCGCGCGAGAACAGCGACGAGATGCGCTTCTTGCGGAGAACGGTGGGGGACGGGGAGCGCAGTTCTACAACGCCAGCATCACTACTGTGCGCGCCTGCTGAGATGACCATCCAGAGGAGTTTCCAGTCGGTCTGTCCTGCTACGCGAATTCGTATCCAGCCTTCCATGCGGCCGTCGCGGAGCGGCGTGTGCATGTCTCGGCCTGTGACGCATAATGTCAACACACAGCGATCTGTCTGACATCTAGGCTGGCACTGACCGTCGTTGAGCGTGATTCTGATCAAGTGGGCGCTATAAATCTCCTCTAGCCGTGATTTCTCCCAGGCTGCGAGACGTAGTGCGGCCGCCCATGAGAGGAGGGCTTGAGTGGAGGGACATGCGAAGAGCAGTAAATTCGACCCAGCGGTGTTCAGAGTCAGCACGTTGGTGTACTTCTGCGCCGCGGAGGTGGACGTGGCGGGCATGGTCACAGAACCGAGTACTTGCACGAACTTGAGAGAATGTCCGTTCAACAACATGGCTTAGATATCAGTAACTCTGTTACTTACTGCGTCTGTGACATTCAAATAGCTTGGGGGAGCTTGTCTACCCTCCTTGCTTGCTTCCTCAATCTCCTTCATGTCCCACAAGCTCAAGATCGTGCCCCCCAGTTGCGCCCAGACCTCGCGCCATCCTTCGTCTTTGGTCGGCCTCTGGCCATCTGGCTGACGGTCAAAGCGTCGAATCAGAGGTCCTGAGAAGTAAATCTTGCTTCCATGTGCGGCCGTGAGCTGCACAATGGATCGTATCTCGGGATGTAACGGTGGAAGCGGTGCAGGTCCTGGCGGACCAGCTATCGACGTTCGCACAGGAGCTGATGAATTGTTCAAAGGTTGATTGGGTGTCTGCGGTGGTTGTTCTCTACTCGAAGGCCCGGGCATAGCGGGCGACATGGGGGCGGTGGACGAAGCGGACGGCGCAGGTTGCTGTGCCGCGCCATTTCGCAGCTCACCCAACTCACCGGCGGATTGAGGGGATAACGAGACAGTGGAGGGAGTAGACTGATGGTTCTTGCTCTTGAAGAACGAGAACGCCGAGTGGGTACGCGAGTGGGTGTGTTGCGTACCGTGCGTCGGCGCTGGAGCGTCTTGCGGTGGCCGGCTGGTGGTCCTGAACATACCCGGCTGCTGTGGAGCTTCTGCGTGCGCAGCTGACGTGTGCTGCCCGTTCTGTGCTGGAAAGGGTTCGTGATCTTGATGCTGTTGTTGCTGCTGAAGCCGCTGCTGTTGCAGCTCGAATTCCTGCTGCTTTAAGAGTTGGAGTTGTGAGGGAGAAACGAAGCCTGAATTCCTGTAGTCCCACCTGGGACTGCTGCTCGGTGAGATCGATGACATACGGGATGGGAGCACGAAAGGTCCCGGTCAAGAGAAGGCAGTCAAAGTCATGAATGAGTTTCCGTCCATGACGGAATTGGCAGCGTTTGATGTCTGTTGATCACAGCGGGCGCGAACCCGACTCAGGAGGCTCGTCCAAATAATAGGGAACACACAACACTCCAAATCATGTTATAACGTTATGAACCATCCGTAGATTACATTCGGCTTCCACGCGATATAGCTAGACGTTACGTTTTCCACCGTGCCGATCAGACCATGTACGACATGTCGGGTCCGCGTACTACCAGACGCTATCAACGCACAGCCGACACCTGGCAGCGCGGCTTTCCACGACGTGTTCTACGCACTCTACAGCTTTGCTAAAGTCTGTTCGTCCGTGACTTTGACGATTCTGGCATACTAAGAGTGAGCATAGTGTGTCAAAATAGCAAACACAAAGACGCACAGCTTCCCGGCGTTGCCTCCAGAGAAGAGCAGTGGTAGCGCCTCCGGACACTTCTCGATTCCTTCGACGACGTGGAACTGTCGCTTCAGTGTTCCTTCTTGAATCATCTTAGACAGCTCCTGTCGTGCTTGTGTCCAGCGGTGCGCGTAGTCAAGGCTGAGATTCACATCAGCGTGAGACAAATACAACAACGTTCTGACACTTGCACCAGGAAGCCCTCGATGACGGCTCTCTTGGCAATGAGGTTGAGGTATTCGGTAATGCCCTTTGGTGGTGAGTCTGTAATCGATTAATGAAAGCGGTACATATCACGACTGGAATGACCTACTATAAGCTGCGATTCCTCCTATGCAAAGAATTAGGCTCTGTCGGCCACTGAAAAGCCAGCTTGAACGGACACATACCACAAAGCGCGACCCGTGCACCCTGATTCAGCCTTCTGAGAGCCAAATCGAGGATATCGCCTCCGACATTGTCAAAATATACATCCAAGTACCCAACGGCCTCGACGAAGTCCTTCCGGAAGGTTGGGCTCTTGTAGTTGATAGCCTTGTCGACGCCAAGGTCTTTCTCGAGCCAGTCACACTTCTCCTTGGAACCTGCGATGGCGATAACCTTGGCTCCGACCTTCTTGCCAAGCTGGCAGACCACAGAGCCTGTGGCTCCTGCAGCACCAGAAACAACCAACGTCTCGCCAGCCTTGATTTTGCCAACATCGAACAGACCCTATCAATGATTGCGGATCAGACGGAGCCGAACGTGTCACACGGCGCTACTCACAAAGTAGGCGGTGAGACCTGAAGCGTTTTGTCATAATCATGCATTTAACTTTCGTGCAGACTCGCCACGTACCCGTTAATCCCAGAGGGCCCAACAGGTCAATTAGCTCACAACCTTGAGGAACCCTAGGAGTGGCTGTCAGTGTGTGACAAAGTTTGGATTCGAGATTACATACTCGACTTTTCGCACGGTCTTATGTTCGTGCGCGTGGATACCGTAGTCCCTCCAACCTGCGTATCGGCTTTTCAGTAATATAACTTGAGTAATGCAAGCAGGCGCCACAACCTAGGAAGCCATCGACTATATCCCCGACTTTCAGCTGGCTCCCCGGGCCCGCCTCAACCACAACACCTAGACCGCCACTGCGCATAACGTCGCCAATCTTGACAGGTTCCATGTAGCCTCCGCTAGTATTTATCCACGTGCGCTGCGCCGGGTCCAGCGACAAGTACAGCGTCTTCACGAGCACCTCGTTCTGCTTCGGCTTCAGGTCGAACGGTACCTTTTCAACACGGAAGGTCTTGGGCGTGATGTCGCCCGTGGGCCGCTCTTGCAGGGTAATGCGTGTGTACGTTGACGGGGCCATGATGTGCTGGGGCAAGTGTGATATTGAATCTTCATGTCCACGCTGTCAGCATATATACTGCCAGGGAATCAGATCGAAGAAGTCGTGCCTCCGGCTCCGGCCTGGGTGTGTCCGAAACATGATTGCCACATTCTTGTATACTTGTAGGATTGTGAGCGCGCCTTAAACAAGTGCACCAGAGTTCACCAATGAATAGCGCATCGTAGGTACGGACATATAGGCGCTACAGGTTGCTCATTCGTCGTAGGATCGTAATCTGGCATAGCCTGAGTTTGAATTTTTCGGCTGCTAGAAAGCAGCTAACATGGACATGAGACGCCCGTCCGCTTAGAAATCTTGCCCCCGCATCCTTCTATCACTGGATGGAAAGCGCGGTTTTGTCCTTGCCGTGCAAGATCGATCAAAAACTGATATAACAAGGACCTGGGTTTCTCCGGTTTTCATCTGGGAAAAACCAAAAGACAAAATTCAGCTTTCCACCAGTGGATGCCTTTCCACAGCCGTCTACAGAGCTTTGTAGACTAGATTTCAGAATAAATCGGACACGGCATCACGGCAGATCTTACTTACCACTGTTTCGGTCTAAACAGCTGCGTTTACAGACCCGAACTCTGGAAGGGGGGTCGGACCCCCCAGACCAGATTCTACGTTTATAGACGTGATTTCAAACTCCGCATGCGTCGTTGCACTTGCTGCCCCACTTACGCCGCCCTCCGTCTTGCTAAATGTGTACAGTGATATTATAAATGGAACATATGGTATTGCCTGTCTGGCCTTCGGGTGAAATCGGGACCGAGGTAGGTATGTGGTGAGCTCGTCGACGTTCAATGTATACGGCGTGATCGTCCGGTGACCAAGAGTGATGCTGCCCCAAAAACGGCCCCTTGGAGCACTTCATTGGCAGCAGATTTGTGCTCATCTTCCAACTGCTGCCAGAGCAGTGTTAAGTTAGGGTCTATCAGCGATACACAGAGCGAACGCGTCCGCTCGAGTGTATCAGCCCGCAGTCGCACTTTCGAACTCCGCTTACGAAGCGAAATATTCTGTTTCTTCACTCTTGGTTGCTGTGGTTTTATAGATAGGTACCATTAGACCCTAGATTGTAGTTTACACTCCGCACTATATTCTGGAATCTGAAAAAACCCTGTGGAAAGGCATCCAGTTGCCGTGTTGTTTTACAGCAGTTTTCTCCTCAATTTGCCTCGGCGTACAATCGAGGAAAAATCGGGTCCTATTTGACCGCTTTTGTCCAGATTCTCTTAGAAAAATTGCGCTTACCGCCCTGTGTCTCCAAAAGCGGACGTATTCCCAGCGAATGCTTGCCTATGCTTGCGAAAGTGCTGACAGGAAGCGTCTGCTGGACCGGCGGGCAGATCTTAAGCTTCTTAAGAAGTAACGGCGCCTTCTCAAAGTCAAAACAAGGCCGATTGAAAAAATTTTGAGGACGCGGCGCTCGTGTGCAATGCTAGTGGGCCCGCAACTGCACAATTATCGAATACGCGGACGTGGCTCCTGTCTAAAGTCGAGCAAGCGGATCTCGATAGATGAAAGTCAGGTCCTCCATGGCCACCAGCTATCGGCGAGCTGTGCGCGTACAGTTGGTTGTGGCCTGCAACACCGGGCTGTTACGTGACGAGCATATCTTCTCGAGCATGCAGGTGGCGCGAGTTTATTGAACAGGTATACGCGTGTAGCTATCGGGTACAACTAGTTACAGCGCGAACAGAACCAAGCCGCTTTGCTTCGAAGCACTAAAGACATCTAACAACTGACACCAGCAGCAGCACTAAGCAATTAGACTATTCGCATCGCGAAAGCCAAAAGCTCTGAGAACAAATCCAGACCTTCAAGGTTCCAAGCATTGACCAGCACAGAACAATATATAAACAATAAAAATTTGCAGCATCCAACGATCCTGATCTGCGTAAGACGCGTAAAGCGTGAAGAGGGGTATCATCAGGCGATAATCGTGATAAGGTGGTCGATTACATGGAGACGAAGAAGGCGGCGACAGCGGCAAGAGCGACGAAAGAGCCGCCAATCTTGTGTGCGACGGAGGCACTGTTAGAGTTGGGGAGGACGCCAGCGTTGGCGGCACCGATAGGGACAGCAGCGGGCTCAGAAGACTCGGAGACGGGCGCGGTGTCAGTGGGAGTAGAATCCGCAGGAATGCTGAAGTCAGCGGGGACGGTCAGACTGCGAAGCTACAGTGAGGAGAAGATCAAAAAATTCATGGTAAATACACACGTTGTAGCAGGAGTGACAGCCGGAATCGGGGGTGCCGCAGAGGATGCAACGCCGGATGCAACAGCCGAGACGTTAGCAGATGTCAAGGGAGCAACAGAAGACGAAGAGGTAGCTGCAAGGCACGAGCTGTCATCGCTTCCTCCGACGGTGATCTAATGAGAACAGTACAATTAGACATAAAAATACGTGCTACTACGTAAGATACGCACAGTTCCGCTCCAGGCTTCGTTCTCGTTGGCATCGACAAGGGAGAGCATCACTTGAGTGCCAGCGGGAAGGTTGACGTTCCAAGTGATAGACTGATTCTGTAGTTGATCACCGAGATCCGCGCTGTACAGAAAAACTTAGCATCGCAGGCTTTGACATAAAACAGACTGTATACGTACAGAACCTTGTCACTGTCACAAGGAGCATCACTAGGAACGACGACGAGGTCGAAAGGTGGGGCACCACTGGTCCAGGTGATCAACGCACTCTGGCACTATTGTACGAGATTGTCGTGGTCAGAGGTTGTAGTGTAGGCCAGAAATTTAAAGTGTACATGCCTGGGTCATGACGGGAGTGTCAATGGTAAAGGCATCCTGAGCGCTGACGCCACGAACGGCTAGGGCTGAGAGAAGGGCACCAGCAGAAACGAGTGTGGTGAACATTTCGGTGATATCTGTACAAAGAATGACTATAGAGCAAGAAAGCTCTGCGGTTCAGAAGCCCAAGACTGAGAGGGAGAAGGGGGAGAAGGCAAGCAAGACTTGGTTGCGACGAGGGGAAAAGATGACACGCGCGCTCTTCCCTTGCTACGCCAATCCGGCGTCTGATCCGACGATCGTTTCCTATTCAGGACAGATGCACAACGTAGCTCCGCCATCATGTGTGTTATGATTGGCGCCAATAACTGTGACTCGTAACGCGTAAAGCGCTGTGACTAATGGCGAAGGCACCGACATGCGCGTCAAGGCGAAATTGTTGGCACCTTGAACCTCCTCGTCCATGTCCCAAATAGAATGAGCCACTTTGAATTCCAACGCACACGTTCGACGAATAAACTACCTCAAGGATGGGTGTCAAGTCGCTCTGGAGTCTTCTGGAGCCAGTCGGCCGACCAGTCCCGTGAGCAATGTCACATTTCAGCCATGATTCGGACTGACACCGTAAAGGCTGGAGACCATGGAGGGTAAGGCCATGGCCATAGACTCTAGTATTTGGATATATCAGTTCCAAGCCACCATGCGCGACAAAGAGGGTCGTGGTCTGGTCAACGCGCATGTGCTTGGATTCTTGCGACGTATCAGCAAGCTGCTCTTCTACGGGATCAAGCCAGTCTTTGTCTTTGATGGCGGTGCGCCCGCTCTCAAACGAACAACTATCGTGCGTTCCTTACCAGATTATTCCGATACTTGCGCTGATATTGTCAAAGTCTGAGAGAAAGAATAAGAAGAGCGGGGCCGCTGCCAGCCATGCAAAGGTGGCCGAACGGCTGCTTGCCGCACACATGCGCAGGGAAGCTGTTAGCCAGGCGCAGAAGTACGTCGCCCGAAAGCCACCGTGTATTATGATGCCAATATACGCTGCAGGGTTCAAGGGTTTAAAAGCAAGGCCGGTGGTCCGGTGATCTTAGATGAGAATACTGTATACCTTGAGGACTTGGAAAATCCCCAACCCGCCAAGCCCCAAACACCTGCCAAACAGACGTCAATGCCGACTGAGCAATCACCTCCCTCGTCGAAGAAGAATAGTCGCTGGCACGACCATGACCCATACAGGCTGCCGGACGTCAACATGAACGAAATGATCGCAAATGCGACTCGTTCGGTTGCGCCAGATCCCCGTTTAGCGACTGAGGAAGAGTTGCGTTCTTTCATAGAGGAAATGCGCCCCGATGACTTCGATGTCTCGTCTCTTGCGTTTCGCGAGCTGCCCACGGAGGTGCAATACGAAATCATAGGCGATCTACGTCTTAAGTCTCGCCAGACGTCGTACAAACGACTTCAGAACATGCTCAAAAATGCGAAGACTCCGATGGATTTCTCCAAAGAGCAGATTAAGAATTTGAAACAACGCAATTCTCTGACGCAACAGCTTCTAACCACCACGGATAGCATCGGAAAAGCGCACGTGGAAATTCCGATTCGTATTGCCAGTGAACGAAACAAGCAGTACATCTTGGTCAAGAACGAGGGCGAAGGCGGCGGATGGGTCCTCGGCGTGCGAGACGAAGGCACCCGCGCAAAGCCTATAGAGATTGATCAAGATGAGCCCGCACCGCAAAAGCAAGAGGTCGGAGCAAAAAGAGCCCTTGACGATGCCGGAGAGGATAGTGACATGGACATGGAAGAAGTACCTATGTGTGTCCCTTTCGTGTCATAACGTGTCGACAGGTTACTCATATTTCCTGCAGATCTGTAGGTGCGGCTGTGGATCCTGACTTGCGCGAATATCGTCGCAGGCAGGCTCTGTCCGCTCTGTCGAAGCGTTATTCGCCGAAGAAGCTGACTCCCCTGACCACAAAGCCGCCGCGCAAGGATAGCAAGCCTCTCTTTGCACCGGAGGACGGCGAGGCCGGACAGGCACCGAGCGACGATGAGATGGATCCTGAACTCGTCAGCGCCATCCAGGAGTCTTTGATTGATGAAGAAGCTCGTGAGCTTGAAAGGGCAATCGTGGCTTCCAGAGCGGATTCTTCTCGCTCTCGTCACATTCACGATATCCCTGGATCGAATGTAGGGGCCTCTAGCTCGCGTTCTACATTGGACAGCGCTCTGCCGCAAACACCCAGAGCAGGCTCAAGTTCACATGACCTCCAGCTCCTCGAGGATATGCGTGATTCGGACGATGAATTGTACGCGTCGCCGACACGCCTGGAGACAGCCTTGTCCATCGCGAATGCAGGACCTAAGAAGCCGTCACCTCCGCAGAGGAAAAGTGCGAGCCAACGTTTTCTTCATGACTTCGGCATGCCGACATTGCTGCTGTCGGAGGAGCAACAGCAGGTGCAAGCCCATCCCGTATCCCGGACACTCGATGATTCGGGCTCGGAGGACGACGACATGGTAAAAGTCCCACTTCAAGCTTCCCCACTTCGGTTTTCATCGGGTGCACCAGCTGTCGAACATTCTCTCGCTGCAATCTCGACTCGAGATGTGTCTCCGGCATCACCCGTCATGGAGGCGAACCGCATCCCGGAGTCTCTCTCCAGCGATGAGGACGAGGAGATGGAGGAGATTCTTCCTCAAGTCTATGATTCACCATCTACACACCATCTGAATGCATCTTTGACCGCCTCAGCTGCTGCAGTCACGTCGAGTACGACGGAAGTCTTCGTGGCAGAAGCTGTAGTAGCCGCCTCATCCCAGCATTCTCGTGCATCCTTGCACTCTGTTATCTCAGTCTCTAATCGTCGAGCTACTGTGACAGTCGACGAAAGCAAGAATCGATTCTACGAAGCCCCGCCGCCTGTACCCGACACGTCTCTTTCGCCCAACAATAGTTCTTCCCCCGAGTCCGACGGCGAGCCCTGGTCTCGTCCCCTCTCTCCTTCTGATGACCCCGCTGCGGAGGTCCCACAGAAAGAGAAGGCCGACGAGGACTGGGATGCCGCGCAGGAAATAGACCCACACGTGGAGGAGAGCGAGTACGCGCAGTTCGTTTCACAAATGCGCGGACGTAACCTGGACGAGGTCCGGAAGGAGATCGACGACGAGATAAGGGCGCTTAAAGAGCAAAGGAAAATCGCGATGCGCGACTCGGAGGATATCACCCACCAAATGATTTCTCAGGTTATGGTATGCGCCCCGTACCTTCGTATGTTTCAACTAGTTGACAGCACGGCGCGGAGATGATGCTCCGCCTCTTCGGTATCCCGTACATTACCGCGCCAATGGAGGCAGAAGCACAATGCGCCGAGCTCCTCGCGCTCGGACTCGTCGACGGCATCATCACAGATGATTCGGACGTCTTTCTGTTCGGCGGCGCCCGCGTGCTTAAAAATATGTTCAACCAGTCCAAGACTGTTGAATGCTTCCTGCTGTCAGACCTCGGGCGCGAGCTAGGACTTGAACGCGAAAAGCTCATTCGTCTGGCGTATTTGCTTGGGAGCGACTACACAGAGGGCTTGCCAGGTGTCGGGCCCGTAGTTGCGATGGAGCTACTGACGGAGTTCTCCGGGTCTGACGGCCTGCACAAGTTCAGGGAGTGGTGGAGGAAAGTCCAAAGCGGCAGGGACACGCTTGAGGACAACAAAAGCAAATTCCGGAAACGTTTTGTGGGTGTATTTTGGTCCTGATGTCCTTACCGATCTCCAACCTATCTTTGGCAGAAAAAGCGTTTCAAAGAACTCTATCTTCCAGAAGATTGGCCCAACCCTACAGTCGTGAGTTGCATGTGCACTGTCTCTGCGTTGTTCTTAACATGACTGTGTCTCAGCGAGATGCCTACTATCACCCCACAGTGGATAGCTCGGAAGAGCCATTTAAATGGGGCTTGCCGGACCTCGATGCTCTCAGGCAGTGCGTTACCTGCCGTAACGTAGGTATGGTTATCCTCACAATTATTTCTGAATTAGATTCTTCAACGCCGAGCTGGGTTGGGCGCAAGAAAAGGTGGATGATCTGTTGCTGCCCGTTATCCACAAGATGGGCAAACGCAATCAGGTGAGTCCGCGGCGCACCAAGTACCGCATGGCGCGCTCACGTTATCGTAGGCTGGCAACACCAATCGGCAAGGGAACCTCAACACGTTCTTCGATGTTCCGACAGGAGCGGGAGCACCTCGCAAAAGGCAAGCATATGCAAGCAAGCGGCTGCAGCAAGTTGTAGCGGACTTCCGGAAACAAGCGCAGTTGCGACCGTCGTCGCCTTTGGAGAATGCGTCTGAAAACGAGTACGAAGAGGGCGAGGAAGCTCGGCCCAAGAAGAAGCAGAAGCCAAGCAGGAAGTTAGACCCTACTAGGAGCAGCGGAACTGTACGGGGTAAACGAGGTCGTGGCCGTGGTCGTAGTGGCGGCACGTCTGCATTGCGGAAAAAAAAGGGGCAGGAGTTGTCAGGCTCGGAATCTGATTCGTCTTCGGAAGGAGTGCCTTTGGCACAACCCGTCGAACCTGCCGCACAAGCACCGAACCTTCGTCCACGGCCGAGGCCCGCTTACAAGCAGGCAATCCTTGAGGGTGATGAGCACAATGACACGGGGTAATCACGTTGCATGCCAAGCGGTAGTGTAGGAGTGTCGCGCCTAATGTATCAGTTTACCATACCATAGCGTCAATATACCTTCTGGTCTGACGATTGCTTGCGTCCGGACACTCAGTAGAACGCCTTAAATCAACTAATATTCAAAGCAGTACTCGCGACGATCATTCCTCGTCCTCCTGGCTTTCCGGCCTCGCCTGAGGAAATGCATCAGCCTTGCCCCAAAGCGCATACCGGCACCGAATCGGCGTACCTTGTTCTCCGCAAGTCCGCCAAGCTCTTCCTGGAGGCCATCGAAGGGGTACTCGCGTCGAACGGCAGGCATCTCTGCCTGGACAGCATAGCAGAGGATGCCGATACCGGCGAATGTTCCGACCGCGATGATGAAGTTGCGAAGAGCTCGTGGAGGGTCTACTACGGGTGCGTCCGGACCCCACATGGAGAGTATCTCCTCCTGCTCGTGAAGCTGCGCGCGATAGACGTGTTAGGTTCGGCGATATGCTAAGCGAGAATATACGCACAGGTTCGCCGAAGTTGCGACGCATCTGTGGGTCGTCCCAGCCTAAGGGTGAACGGCGCTGCTTTGAGACGTACGGGAGCTCTGGGTATCCCGCGAGCTGGGGGTCCTTGGAAGGCGGGTACTCTACATGTGGAACAGGTGTGGCATAGGTGCGGACTGCGTTCGCAGTGGCTCTGCGGAGGCTTGCTGCAGGACGTGCAGCGATACGGAGGGCTTGCATGACGAGCGAGAGGTAATGATTCTTTCTAGGTTTTCTCCGGTAAGCGCGGGTTGTAGCGCGGGAGGATAATTCAAGTTCCAATCATGGGCATATCGTGCTGGACGCGTCTCCCGAACCGCGTGCACAGCGCGCTCTGGGGGTTGACCGAGGCACTGATGCTACCGCCAACACGATGCGGCATAATACAAACAGATGGGTCAAAAAAGATCGCTGTTATGACACACCCATACACACCACGGAACAGGTAACTCCCTATATGTTAAAGCCCGAGCCACCACCCAGGGTCCCCGCAGAATCCTCGCCCTCCGCTTGTCGCCTTAGCCACCCACCTCGTCGACTAACGAGCTGTTTGCTCCGATATGTCCTCGCCCAATATCACTAGAAACATACCCATTGGTGATAGAAACCCCCGCAAGAGCAACAGAAATCTGGGCGAAGTCTGGGACCCAGTGCAGTACTCGTCAGAGCAGCTAGCTTTGTATGTAGAGCGAGTACACGTCTTCTCTAAAGCTGATAATCGATTTGTAGTGATAGCTGGAACTTCATGTTTTTGAGATCCCTTTGCAAGGGTCTCACCGCCCGCCAGGGTATCCCGCCCTCCAGCGTACTCGACATTGGGTGCAGCTGCGGCCTTTGGGTCGTGGAAGCCGCCCACCAGTGGCCTGTAAGCGTCTCCGCACATTTTTCTCATGTCAGCATAAACACCGCGTCAAGGACTGTAAATTCATCGGTTTTGACTGCCGCCAAGTCCTGCCTGACTTGAAGAGGTTCGCCGAACAGCCAGGTGTCGGCAACATCGTTGACCGGATCCGCTGGGTGCACGGTAACTTGTGAGCACCGTTCATATTTCTTTCCGCCCTCAGAGAGCCCGGAGCTGATTCATGCAGCCTTGATCCGTTGCCATTTAAAGCGAGCAGCTTCGATTTTGTCCGCATTTGCGGCATTGGAATTAGCGTCCCGGAAGACGAGGTTTGTCCTGTCCTTTGATTGTAATAATCTCCGCTAACGATGGGCAGTGGGGGCACTTGTTGCAGGTACGCGCCGCGGCGCTTCATTGGGGATGATCTCTCTAATTTTGTAGGAAGTTTCAAGGGTCCTGATTCCTGGCGGATATGTCGAGGTTCGTGCTGTCGTGTTGAGCGACCGTAAATAGTGACGCCGATACTTGCTTGGCCTGCAGATTATTGAAGATGACCTCATCTTCCCCTGTGGCTCTCAGCCAGACTGGACCAAATTCGAGGTTGTGCCCATCCTTAAGGCGCCAAGCACCGACACCATTTCTGATCCGCCAAAGTCACCGACCCTCTCCCGCCGGCTCACTCGCAGACCCTCTTCTTCGCGCCTCGTCTCCTCTCTTTTCCCGTCAGACTCGAACCCCAACAATCCCAACGATCCGTTCGCAAGCCCAGTGGAGTCCGAACGCATCGACTACCTCGAGGTGCTCGACCCAAAGAATCACGCAAAATTGAAGGCCGCGTGGGACCGCTTGCTCCTCAACCGCTTCCTCCCTCCCGGTCTGCTCTCGGTGCTTCAGTTCTACTTCGCTACCGAGTTTGAAGAGGAGCAGACGTTCCCGACAATCCAGATCACGCTCCCACCGAACACCCGGATGTACGAGCCGAAGGCATCGGACCCTGGACCTCCTGTTCTCCCTCATATCTTCCCCTTGCCCGACGTCCTTGTACCCCGCAACTTCTCGACAGTGACGGACCTGCAGTTTGAAGAGTACCGCAGATATGCCGAGGGAGGACCGCCGGGCCCGATCACCTCGTCGACGTGGGCAGCGATGCACCTCGGGCGCACGGTCGCACTCGTCGCCGGCTGCAAGCAGGCGATCTTTGAGGAGTACAAGAGCCTCGAAGGACCCCCGCCGACGACGCAGAACGCGATTTCTGACATGAAGGACGAGTTCAACGCGGCGTGGTTGAACTGGGAATGGTGAGCGCCACCGCCATCTCTCGAAGCGCGATGCTCATGCGGCTGAAGCGACATGCGAGACCGCATGCGCATGCGCACCTTCATGGACAGTGCCGTGGCGTGGACGCAGGAAGCACCCGATGAGCCACCTGACGTGAAGGATTGGCGAAACCGTGCAGGCTTCATGGAGGTCGACGAAGAGAACCCAATTCTGGACCATCGTATCTGTAGATCTATGAGAGCGTTCGTTGGACGTAAGCCGTTCAACCGCGATATCGCTTGAGCTTAACTATAGAGACTGTTGTCCAAAATCAAGTATGGAAGATCAAATGCAGACGCGAGAGAAGACCACTAGCATATAGTAAGGTAAACAACGATAATCTACAAGTACAGGCCTTCAGGAGTGCCCTCATTCTTCCGGTACAAGACCTGCAGCAACGATCAGCGCGACATTCACACGGGCTGAGATCAAAGCGTCGCACCTTCTCTCTCGCTTCGGTAAAGTCCGCTTTCGTTACGCGCATACGCCGTTCTCGGAGAGCAAGAAGGCCCGCCTCGGTACACACCGCCTTGATGTCCGCACCGGAGAGGTCGTCTTTCGTCGTGATGAACTCTTCGAGGTCGACATCCTCCGCGAGACTCATGCGGGCAGTGTGCAGCTTGAAGATGTGCCGCTTTGTCTTGATGTCCGGTAACGGGAACTCGATCTTTCGGTCGATACGTCCCGGACGGATAAGTGCGGGGTCAAGAGTCTCGATCCTGTTCGTGGCCATGATCACCTTGACGTCACCTCGCGAGTCGAAGCCGTCCAGCTGGTTCAGCAGTTCCAACATGGTACGCTGGATCTCACGCTCGCCTCCGGACGTTGAGTCATATCTGCAAAAAATAAGTTGCCGCGTAGGAGCGGGCTTTAATAGTTTACTCACCGCTTCGTACCAATGGCATCAATCTCGTCAATGAAGACGATACTCGGTGCGTGCTCCTCGGCTACTCGGAACAGCTCTCGGACAAGCTTAGGGCCGTCTCCAAGGTACTTTTGAATAAGCTCTGAACCGACTATTCGCAAGAAGGTAGCGGACGTCTGGTTCGCGACGGCCTTGGCGAGCAGCGTCTTTCCTGTACCGGGTACGCCATACAGAATGACACCCTTTGGTGGCTTGATGCCCATTTCCTCGTACAGCTCTGGGTGCGTGAGCGGTAGCTCGACCGCCTCCTGCAGAAGAAGTTAGAGAAAGTGAAGTTGTGAAAGTAGTGGAAATAGACCTTGATCTCCTGAATTTGCTGCTCCAGTCCACCAATGTCCGCATAGCTCTCCGTAGGCGCTTTGTCGAGCTTCATAACGTTGACCATAGGATCTGTATCGTCCTTGAGGACACCAATGACGGCATGTGTCTTGTGATGAAGCAACACGGTGCAGCTAGGCTCGAGTTGGTCCTTGTCAACAAAGCTCATTATTGAGACATAGTATTCCGGACCGGATGCAGTGCTGATGATGGCATGGTCGTCGTCAATAATCTCCTCGAGTGTGCCCACCGCCATAGGTGTACCCCGCAAGTCGTCGACTTTCGACCTGTCCTCCTCGCTCTTGTCCTGCGGCGCGGCTTCAGGCTTCAGGCGCTCTTGATTGCTAATGTACTCCTCCTCAAGAAGCATGTAGTCCTTGATACGCTCCATCTTGAGCAGCCGTAGCCGACAGCGAGTGGTTGGGTACACAGGCGGAAGTTTCGAAGCAGCTGCCGGGCCTTTCTTCTTCTTACGTCCTACACGAGTTGGCACAGGTGGCTCCCATTTCTTCTTCTGAGGTTCATTTTTCTTGTCGCCGTCTTTACCGCCTTGCTGACCTCCTGGAAAGCCTGGAGGAAGGCCTCCGGGAAACCCGCTTGGAAAGCCTGACGGTGCGTTACCCTGTTCACTCTGAAGTGAGTAGACAGAGGAGTTGGCGTTTGCAGAGATAAACCCACCATTTTTCCGAGCGAGGGGTGTAAGAGGTTGTGTCGTAAAGTCGTGAACGCAGGAGGAAAGGGGAGTGGTAAGCGGTTAAAGCAGCGCGACGCGTCACTCTGTTCAGCCACGTGGACCACGTGGCTCGTATACCGCCGCCGGCGCGCAACGCCCGTCTCGCTCAAGCTTTGCTCACACCGATTTAATATTCCTCGCCCTCCACGACGACAAGATGCAGAGACCTGAAGACAGCATGATGACTCCTTTGACTTCCACGTCGCGGTTTATCCAGGCAGGTTCGTGGGCTGCGCGTGAGGCACTTGCCTACGGGATACACATCATGACATGCTACATTCGCAGACGACGATGACGACCTCGACGAAGAGGCTATCCCCGGGTTCTCGCACCCAGGGATGCCAGTCACGCCTACAAGTGCGGTATCAGACAAAGGGAAAAGTCGTGCGACCGAGCAGCTCGCCACCCTGTCTGAAGGCTCACAGCATCCCCGTACGCCGCTTTCGGGGAACATTGGCAGTGTGCCGAATGGCGCTCCCCAGTCCGCGAGACAGACAGTCGGTGGTGTGAGGGTTGAGACTCGGTAAGTGGTATGTGTCATCTCCCTTTCCATACTCATGTAGTTTGCAGACAAACAGGAGTGGATACACTGGACGAGCCTGTCACCACTACTATCGTTAGTAGTCTGCCATACGCGTTTCCCGACCTTACTCACACCTGCCACATTAGGGGCGTGATCTCTTATCGATATACACCAAGCTCGTTCAAGTGCTCTACCCACCGAGAGGAGGCGCTTCCCGAGAAGTATTGAGGTGCGGTGACAGTATCCGTTTATCATACGGCTTCTAACTTTGTGGGCGCAGAGATTGGGATTTATGGGGGCCATTCCTGTTTTGTTTGACTCTGGGCATCCTCCTGAGTGTCAATGTGCGTAGCGATCATTCACATTGGGCGCCGTGTTTACCTCGCGTAGGCCTCAGCTTCACAATCACTGGGTGTGTTCTCAAGTGTCGTGGCTATCATTTCATCGGGCTCCCTTGTTGTGACAATACAGGCCAAGGTGAAAGATCTCTTCTCGAATCAGGCTGTTGCTGACCCTCCGCGTTTGTAGCTGCTCGGCGGCAGAGTGTGAGTTTCACCACGCGATGGCACGGATTCTCTTGGCTTACCCATCTGCTAGGTCTTTCTTTCAGGGTCTCTGCGTTTTCGGATACTGCGTCGCGCCATTGAATGTTGCTGCTCTAGTCTCCACGTTCGTCCATCTCATCTATGTCAGAGCTCCGATAGCCCTCGCCGCCTGGGCCTGGTGCGTATGGGGTGAGTATGGTTCCACTATGCGTCTTTCGTCCTGTACTCACTTGTGCTCGCAGCGGCCGTCAACTTCCTTGATGGCACAAAGATCGAGCAACAGCGAATATTCCTCGCCGTATATCCGCTATTGTATGCTATATTTGTTCGTTGTGAACGACACAGGCTGACCATTAATAATTCAGGCTTTTCTACTTCATCCTTGCTTGGATGATTATTATCCAATGATGGGTCGTCTTGGCTCTCAATCACCCGTTCAAATACAGTATCATTGAACATCTCGTCAGCGTAATTGCGTGCACAAGGGACACAAAGGGACATACAACTAACCGAGGCTGCTGCCAATGTGTCTCATTTCTTAGTATCGGCAGCATCGTCAAGTATAATCATCGCTGCACTCTCCTACACTCCGGTTCCATTGAAATATATTACGCGGGGTTGTCCAAACACCAGACATCTACTGTATATGCAAAATGACCCGAGAGATGTAAGGAGCGACTGGGGACTCAGTGCGATGCGAAGATGTTGAGACGGAAGGTGCTTGCAACAGGTCAACCAAGAGAGAAACTTAAAGAACAGCTGAGTATCGGGCGGCGGCAGGACGATCAAGACTCGGGGCGACCTCTTGCTGTCATGATGTAGTGACCAAAGCTGCCTCGTCTTCGGACGGAATGATGGTAGAGGTCTTGATTCGCAAAAAGGCCCTGGCAGTCATGGCGGTCTGGACGATCACGACAGCTACATAGGCTGTGACGGCCATTGCGATGTACTGCTCGGCATCATCTGTTGTACGATGCGCTGCATGCTCCATGTCGAAGCTGGAGATGACGGCAGACGCAACGCGGTACATGATGAATGCGGCAATACCGCTGAAGATAAGCAGGTGCGTGAGCATGGACTACGTCGATGACCGCATAGGGACTCTGTACCTTGCGGTCGAAGTGAATGGGGTGGCGAGAATCAATGGCATGCTGACACACGAGGTACTGATAGCTGTCGCACCCTATGTGAGCAAGATTGCGTAAGTGATAGGCATCGGCAGCGATCATCAACCGGCTCACCGTGATCCAAGCCAATGTAACATAGCACGAACTGGAGACGTGCGTCAGTGTGTCCATAAAGAGTACGCTCAACATGAGACCAGAGAGCAGGTTCGCCATGCTTAGCACGATGAGTGCTCGCAACACGAGATGCTTCTCTACTTCAGCTCTGGTCTCTTCCATGTTGAAATACGTAATGGACCTGTGGACGATGCTTCAGCGTAGATAGGTGTATCACGGAGGACGTACATACAGGATTGTGGCCAGAGACACCAAGACGTTGTAATAAGATTGAGTGTTGTACTTCTTCATGTAGAGCTGAAATGGCACAGCATCGACTACTGGACATCCGATGCGACGTGGGGAGGCGTTGTCAATTGTGAGGACGCCAGTCAACTGCCTGCGATGGAGTTGAAATACTGCAACGCCAATTACGACGTCCAACGAGGTGATGCCCTTTATGGCGCCTTCAACAAAGAGTGCGTTGAGTGAGGACCACGAGACCATGGTGTGTCGATGCGGGGACTTTTAGGCTGAGGGGTAGGGCTGAAGATATAGAGGTTCCTATATCTGTATGTGAGGGGCTATGGGCATCAGGAACATGGCGAATCACACACACACCTTGCTACTCACGTGGAAGTACAGCCCTCAAATAGTCCGAGGCGCAGCAGCAAAAAGTGCCAAAATATGAATTATAATGTCACCCGCAGGCCCGATAGGTGGGGAGAAAACTTGGAAAGGGTTCAGCCAGGTCTGCTTAAAGGGAGAGATGGAGCATAGGACGGCCTGCAGCACTGCCATCGAAGGAGTCCTTGACTTGCTGCTACCCCTCAAAGCGGTTTCATAGTACGATAGATGCACCGGAAAGCATCGCCCGCAACTCGAAATGAATAGGACGAAGTCATCTGTCCTTGCCTACCGGTGCAAAACCTGTGAGCTTCACACGGACAAGTACGATAGCTGCGGTACACAGAAGATGGCCATAGAATATTGGATCATCCAAGCATACCCGAAGATGCGCATTTACGCGCGATAGGACAAACGAGGCGCAGAGCTACTTGGCAGTTGCGGTTCAAGAAGTGCACAGCCGTGGCCAGAGCGCGGCTGGCGCTTTCTCACAAGTTCTTTCTCTCTTCGTCCACAAACGACACGGCCTCGTGTGCTCTTTACGCTGCAGCTGTTCTCCATAATGCTACGTGTCAACGTAGCAACCACAGCTTGGTCCAGTGTGCCGTGTTTACGCCGCCTGCTACCCCGCCAATTAGACCAATCTTTGATGCGGAACGCCGCAGTCTTAGGATTGACACGGAGGGATGCATATATAACCGGGGACATCTCCCTGCGTTTTCTTTATCGCGCCTGCAATCTAGCTTCACTGCTCTCTCATGTCGCATAAATTCGCTGCAAATCGATGCGTTAACCATTTCTGCGACAAGAATTCTGGCCATTTCTCCCTGCCCATAAGCACTACCCCTCAGGACACGGGCGAGAGCTTCCGTTGGTCTAGTAACCAAGCGGACGTGCTCTCCGACCAACTTGACACCAGTATTCTCGTTACTGGCCTGCTTCTCAGGCGAGTCGCTTTATTACACGACGAACGAACCAGCCAGCCTGACGGCCCCCTCGTAAAGCCCAATCTACTCAATCACTGCGCTGAGAAGCATTGCATTCACCCCTGTCTTGCGAACGACTGGCCACTTGGCGTGCTTGATTGACGTCGTGGGCCTGCTGACCTCCTTAGCCTTGCGCATGCGCCTTAAGCTCTTGCACCGGGACACCAGGGGACGCAGCGAACGGTTTGCGCAGGTATTCGTGCCCGCAGCCTTTCCTTTAGGGCCTCGCTCACATCCTCCAGGCCGTCCATCTCCAGTGGTCAAAGCGGGCTGTCACCGCCATCCCTCCCATAGTATTAATCGCTAGGTCAGGCATAATCACACGATACTAGTTCTCATACTCAAACTTTGATATGACAGCTCTGTCCTCTTATTCTTGATTGTACTCTCCGGGTCTCTTTTCACGGCGACTAGTGCTGAAGCGGTCCCATACAACACGTACGAGCTGGCAATCGTTGGCAGCGCTCTGGCTTTGTCCGCCGTTCAAATCAGCTCAGTAGCGAAGATGTGTCTCACATTGGGATGACTCAATATAGGCTCCATAATTATGTTTGTGGATATCCGAACGGATAGATAGTATACTCCGGAACGGCCTTACTGAGCCTGACAGTTGGTATGGCCGTTCCAACGGACTTTGGAGTATACAGACACGACTTATTGCGCTTCTGCTTGCTTGCCGATACATACGTTTATTGCTTGTTAGTTGACTCGGAGTGGCAGCGACAGCTCGCGGGGCTGTCGGCAGCAAGCTCTAGCGCAAATGAGTGCGACTGCTGCGTTTTTGAAACGACTGCTGATAGATACACCCAGTCACACGATGAATATGTCCTTCATACTACTAGTATCTGTTGAAGTGTACACACAAATACTGACATCTAATAAATTGCGCCTATGGGGGACTGTTAGAGAAGTGGGTGCCAAAAGTTGAACACTAACTACATATCAAGGTCACAGACAAAAAAAATGACGAAGAGAGAGTTCCGAGAATGCAAATCCGTCGAATTGTTACCAAGATGTAAAACGCGTCCGTGCTAAGAGCCCGGTTTCTCCTTAATTGCCACATCGTGGTCCTTGAGTCGAACAAAGACCCTCGCTGAGACAGTGGAGTGGACAATGACGAGCAAAACATAGAGCGTGATGGTGGTGGCAATGTAGCGTTCGTCACTAGGGTTTGGCTCGCGAGAGCCGAAGATCCAAGCAGTAGCCGCGGCGGCGCGGTACAGAACAAAGCTCAGGGTTGCGCTGGGATACAAAGAAGTCAGCTGATCGGTAAATGTTACTGTAAAGAATGGTTCATACCTGCACGTCCAACCAAATGGTGTGGCAAGGAGGGTCGCCAAGTTGAGGGATTCGGCAGCCTTTGGAACATGGTATCAGCGCTTGCTCAACGCCAGGGCTCAGTGCATACATACGCCAGCCAAAGCAAGTACGCTCGTATTAGAACGCACGACGTCCATGAGTATATCGCTGAAGAGCACGCTGAGGTACAGCCCTGCCATGGCATTCGTCATGCTGACAATGGCGAGGGCCCCAAGGATGCCATGCCTGGGGACATCGGTCTGGACTTGGATATGGAAGCAAACGGCGCTTCAAGATGGAACACGAAGTCAGGAAAAAGTCGAACGCAAGCTATAGCGCAGACGTACTAGATGACACCGAGGGACACGAGTATGTTATACACACAACGCTCGTTATATTGTCTGAGGAGAACACCATAGCGCGCAATGTCGATAGCAGGGGAACTGATCGCAGACGTGGTGGTACTGTTGGTGGCCTCCGCTACCTTTCGGCGGTACAACCGGTTGCTGACGAGCAAGACGACGACGAGAGAAAGGGAGGCAACGGACGCAACTGCTGCACCCCCAGCTCCACCAAGGGGGAAAGAGCCTGCTATCTTGATTAAGTCTGGGACGGAGAGGGATTGCATAGCAGCGAGGATTTGCAGCGGCGAGGATTTCGGTGGTAAATGTAGGCTCGGACTGGGCGGGGGTGGCACGTCAATCTGAGATACTCAGAGATATATACAAACCCAATTGCTGCACTGACGAGGTCAGTATCCTGTGTCATCAGTGACAAGATAGAGGCTATTCACCCTTAGTAAGATAGACCACACAAAAGAGGACTGCAAGCCCGGCCGTAAAGCTTAGCTGGAGTCCTTTCAAGGACTCGGAATTTATGAGCCGTTGGCTCTTAAGTTGAGTTTGATGACATATTAGGATCCCGGATGTAGCATATCATACAGCACTCAGGGCCACGTTGGGGTATGATTGTACATGTACATGTACAATCTGGTCTTCTACCAGCCTGGCGATGCAATGTACGGCCACCCAGCTAGGCTATTTGCTCGTTCTAGAACGTGAGATCAGGCTGTTGAGGCGCAGAAATCAATGCACCTAGCCATGCACCTACGAGGAAAGGACCCGAGCATCAGGGGAAAGAGCTATGGTACTTGGCACCGGCTGCTCATAGCCACAGCGCGAAGGAGACGAAAGCGACTGCACAGGCGCTCCGGCCTGAGCGCTTCGGCGCTGAGGAACTTCATATAGCACTGCAAGTGAGTTTTAGCATTCTCTTCGGTCGCATGAGAGGGGCAGTGTCCGACCTGTGCAAATGTGGAACTGGTACTGCTTAATGTATTTCAAGTCTTAGGGAAACTTTGGGAGCTGGCAGTCGTGCGCTGCGTTGGCATCGGGGGCGGAAAGTACAAAAGCCTGCCTCTCGGGGGAGTACGCAGCAGTGTTCCGTAGACATCCCCGAAACGCACCCGCATGCACTCGTCGAACAATGGTAAGAGCAGCATTCCTTGACTAGTTTGTTGAAGGACGCGGCTTACCCGCTGGCAACTAGTCAGCTCAACACTTCTACAAGTGCTCCGCAAAGAACCCTTCCACTGTCGGTCCTCGCTCGCTACCCGCGGGGTATACACATGGGGTATCTACGGACACGGACTTTGACGTCGTAGCGCCCCTCCAGGATGCGGACCTCGCGCTTGGCCGATGCGAGGCTAGCACCGTCCTAGCGGACCGCCTCGACAACACCATCCTGGTCACTGGCTTGCTGCTGAGGTAAACACTTTCTCGATTCTCATTTCATGTAATGCTCATGCAGGTTGCCGCGACAGTCCCATCCACAGCGCTACGAATTGGCACGAAGTAGCTGACAAGCCTGCACTTCGCATAATCGCATACTTTGCATGTCTTCTTAATGCGTGCGGGCTTCTCACCTCCGTGGTTTATCGTTTGCGCTTGAGGGCCTTGAAAACCCGGAATCTCGATGAGCAGTACGCAGAAGTAAGTGTTCAGCTCTGTGGGTCCTCATGTTGATGAGTGACTCACCGGTAGTCATCATAGGAGTTTTGCAATAGCCAAATCGGCTCCTTCATATCTATCATGTCTCCCTTGGTGCTTTCTGCTAGGTACGAGATTTCTCTTCCTCTAAATCGTCGTACTGAAGTCTTACTGTCGACACAATGTGCAGCGCTGTAGTACTCTTTCTGGCCAGTCTTTCAGGCTCCCTTCTCTTGAACGTGAACACTGGCGGAGCCTTCGAAGCAGCCTTGAGCATTCCGCAGCTGGCCCTGTTCGCCGTGGGAGTTTCCTTTCTTATCATTCATGGCCGGCTTGTCTTTCGGCCCTCGATCTTGTAAACGAGATAATCAAACGCTCTGACTCTGCTTATGCCTGTAGTATTATCTTTGCTGGATTCTTTTGATTCATGGCTGACATAGATATCCGCTGATTATTCGAAGATTGTGTGTGTTGAGTCTCATCCAGTTTGTTTTTCTCTGGGACAGTTTACTGGCACATCTTTATAATAAAAACTTGTTTAGTGCGGAAATGATAGCTTCACAGTATTATATGACAAACAAGACAGTGTATGGCGATCCACAAGGCTGAGAAGGAGCGTAATCAAGGTACTATGAGAAGGAAGATGAGGGCCAACCAAGGCAAACAACAATGTCTTCGTTGTCTTCGATGACCCCCAGAGTTTGCAATGGGCCATCGCTACAATGACCTAGGCCCTTATCACTGGCCGGCCTAAGCGTTTAAGTGCTTGACAGCTGTATACCGCGGCTACAGCTGATACAAAACAGATGAGCGCTACGCCGAGCACAAGGCATCTGGAGGGTTCGAGATGAGACCATTCGTGCTCTTCGCCTCGGAGAGAGTAGACTGCATACGCAAACAGGTAAGCGACGAACAATATGACCGCCCTGACAAACGAACATGAGTTGGGCCAAGTGGTAGATGAGAAGACCACTCGCCAGGCGGAGAACAAATGGGGTAAAGCCAGTGGCACTGGTAACCTTCTTGCTCGGCGAGCATTCTATAGGGAAGAGTCTATGGGTTAACCTAGGCGATGGTATGGCAGATGCACACGCACCCGAAGCCAGATTTCAGCTCTCCCCGCAGACATCAGCGCATTACATAGCAAGTGCGAAAAATAGAGGCTGAGAAGGATGCTGAGAGCCGCATAGAAGAGGCTAAGAATCCATAAAATTCTTGTCACCGGATGCTTCAAGGCTTCGTGGGTCCGCTCGCTCATTCCAAAAGGAAACCGGAGCGTCTGTGTTTCCGTGGCCATTCTAAATGAAGATCAGTGTACGGTCATGCGCTGCACAGCGATAAACTTACAGCATCGCGTAAATGGCACAGCGCAGGCTGACTCGGAGCTCCTGGCGGTACATGGCGTTAAACCCACGTAATACGCCTATGGCTGGTCCATTTGTGTCGTGCAAGGCAAACGTGCTTTCCAGGCGTGAGCGATATCTCTCCGTGAGAGACAGGGTCACTAGCCATTCAAGGAAGCTTCCGGCAATATACAAGAGCTGGGTACCAGCTGCGCCATCGACTGGCATCGTTTTCGAGAGATTCCCGTTAAGCTGTAGGTTTCCGCTCTACAGGGTCGTCAATACGACCTCAATATGGTTACATTCATATTAGGGTCCGCCACTCATGAGGCGAACGGGAACTTACCGCTATGGCGACGGGGATCCACTGTGGCGAGACCTTGTCCAGCCGAAGCAGCTGTTATTATAAGGCAGAGACAACTCATGGACCTTCTCCGCTAAGGGAGCGTTGTTGTCCTATGCAGCACATGTTCAAGACGGGCCTGTGCAGGAAGTGCACTGCATCATGGAACGGACGCGCGTTACTGTATCCGTTTTCCGTGGCTTCTGCTGTCCTAGGAAAACTAGGACCCTAGGCACAGGGGATATCTCATGTACATCATAGCCAAGGACACCCTGAGACAATGGGCCAGGCTGCGGCATCGTTGAACGTAGATCGTTGCACAGACATGGCAACAAGTGGCACCTTCTCATCTGAACGTGAGCTGGTAAGGGTCTGCCAGCTCCATGAACTCTTATCTCTCATTGCTTCTACTCCCTCAGCCTACCCCGAGGAGGAGTATGAGGAAAAGAGACTCACCGGAAGGTTCTCACAAACCGATATCAAGGGTCCGTGAGTATTATGCGGTAAGCTCGGCTGGGATTTATGTATGTCCAAAGCGCCCCAGTATCAATGAAGCCACTGGTATTGGTCAATCGAGTTAATGACAATATTTGCCGTTTGCAGTGGTTGTGTGCGTATGAAGACCAATCTGAGGTCGCTCCAGGGCCTAACGGCGACTGGTCTGGGTGAATGCTTGCTCGGCGCTCGGCGCCTGGAAGCGGGCAGCGCTTGAAGCGTCTGCCGCTCAGACAGCCTTAAGTACCGACCTGCACGACGGGCTGTGCCATCCCTTCACTTCGCATCAGTAAGCCGCGAAAACTTTCCTTCACCCCACTGGACTTGTGAGACGGCACTCGCAGATATGCCAAACAATACACCTCTGCTTCAATGTGAACCTAACCCTAGCGACCACTGTATACAGGAAGAAATTCCTGCGCCATCTGCAATGACGAACGACATCAATGGGTTCATGGAGTGCTTCAAAAGCCAACATAGTACTCTCATTAGCGTCTCCGTCGTCCTCCTATAGTATGTCACACATGCACGGTCACCGGAAGAATACGTTGACCGACGAGCACGTTCGGCAGCCCATTCTATACCATGATGCAGATGCCGGTGATCAAGGCGTGCAGAGCATTCAGGATCGTTGGAGGTGCTGTTTGCATGCTCGATATCATTTGCCTGTGCCTCTCAATTGGCCTGCGACTACGCGCATGGGCCGTGGTGCGTGAGGGCAAAGCGGAACAATTTATGAAGGTCGGTGTAGAAGAGTCTATACCACCCGTTTCGTGTTTCTGATCCTGATGTATCAGGACATTTTCAACGTGCGTAACGGGCCTTCTCGACGAGAAGCCGCTATCGTCCTCAACGCTCCTTATTTCCTTATGTCCGCGTACGCGTCCTTGCCACTGTCTACCTGTCTATCTTCTGTTGATAATTTCTGTCAGCACCATGTTTCTCTTCGCGATTGAGCTCGTTGGCTATGTCTGGCTCTCGATCCCTTGCGACCCGGCAGAGCTCGAGGTCCCTCCTCTTGATATCGCTGAGTCCGTGCTCTTGCAAGTCGCTGCGTCTGTGGGCGCCGCGTTTTGTGGCCGGAGCTTCAGAACTATCCGGCAACTGGGTAACGCCACAGAGTTGGTGCCTGAAGCAGCCGATCCTGTTACTGCCGCGCAGGAGAAAGTTTAGAGTGTAAGAAGCTAGCCAGTCTCAGTTGACTCCCTCTGACGTACCTGAGTTTGCAGCCTGTCTAACACCATCTCCACACTTCTCGATACAAGCATATCGAACGAGTTACGCAATCATATTTCACCTCCGCATCGCCAATTCACGACAGTGGTCAAACTTCTTCTAGCGCCGTTATCTTATTCGTGATGTAGATACACCTACCACCTTGCCTTGCCACGGTAATATTCACGCCCACATTAGCGATAAGATTTATACCTTACTTCACGATGAGAGCTTGCTCAGTTAAGCCCCATTAGCTGAGATACTCTGACGATTGACGGAATGCACGATTACTATACTATGCACTCAAAGTAGAAATGTCTTTCTTATCCCTGACTTACTCGCTCCAAGAGCCCCTCTCTCTCCTCCCTCGTCTTATGTACCTTTTGGCCACCCCTATTTCGCCATTGATCGCGCCCGATAATTGCCTCCGCTCTCTTTGTTTACGCCGCGCGCAGCGCGGCTTGCCGCTCCGTGCTGCACGTTGAGCCAAACTCTATAGCTAAGCCAGGATTAATATTACCAAAAACCTTGATCGTCAACGTCAACACCCGCAGAACCGCAGCCACGAAAACAGCGCACGCGGAGCGCAGCGAAGCTACCTCTTGTATGAACACAAATATGGTCAAACAAATAGCGCTCGGCCTCGGCTCCGTCCACGCCCGGGGTCGTGATTGAGGCTGTGCATCGACGTTTTCCTTATAACACCTACAACAAGCAACGTACTTTCCTTGTCTTTAGATTCCAGGCTTGTGTTTGTGGTTTTTTGTGTTGCTCTAACTGCTCGTACGAAACAGTCTCACCAGACTAGCTCTTTCAAACATGGCCGCCACGGAGAACACGCCTCTACACGACGATGCCGCCATCCAGGACGGCAACATCAGCGAGACAACTCCGAAGCCGTCAGTTGACATCGATATATTTATGGACTATTTCGAAGGCCAGTGCAATGCTCTGGTCGCCTTCTCTGCTATGCTTATATGGTACGTCGCCGCGCACGACTCGGATTGTCGTCAATGAGCCTGCCGCTAAACGTGTAACGTGTCCTGCAGCCCGGCCCTTGTCATCAAGACCTCGCCAGAAATCTCGCTCTCTTGGCCCCTTAGAACCGTGGGGTTGCTTGTCTGCGATCTCAATGGCCTGTGTCTAGTGATTTCCTTCTTTCTCCGGGTGAGCGCCTGGGTCGCAAAGCGTGGAGGGCACACAGAGCAGTTTGCCAAGGTCGGCATGATCTGCACACGTCTCTTGCCTGCCCTAATAGATGTTGTGTAGGATATCACCAACCTGCGCAGGGGGCCCGCCCGAAGCCACGCTGCTGTCGTCGTCAGGGCTCCCGGCTGGCTCATGACCGCGTACGTCTCCCGTATTTCCTAATAACCCATCCGCAGCCCCCGCTTATGCCCGAAGGCAGGACCCTAGCCACCTTCCTCGTGGAAATGATCGGCTACTTTTACCTTTGGAACCCACCAGCCACTGCTAGCCCCAAGGCTCCGATGCACGCTGGCGAGGATATGCTGTACCAGGTCTTGCTGATCACGTTCAGCTTGTTCGCAACCCAGAGCATTATCATTGCGAGCAAACTCGGGAAGCCCCCTGCCCCAGCCCCAAACCCTGAGGTCGCCGACGTGCAGGAGAAGGTGTGAACGGCAAGGCGATGTATCCCCCGGCGCGCTCAGGGATGCGTTGAAGTCTGGACACATGCCTGTCGCATTCATGGTGGACGCCCACCGTTCAGGGACATTCTCTAGTTGAAACCATTCCTATCTCACGCACAAATGTAGCTTCCCTTCATCCATGCTAGGACTTTCGGTCTCGCGACGCGTCACTTTACGTAGCACCAATATTAGCCTCTTCTTCCCGTTTAACAAGCTTCGACCATTATACAAACGCAGATGTAAGGTACAGAATATGTCTTACATAAGTACGAAAGATCCACAGCCTGACAGTACAACGGTAGAGTCCATCCAATTGTCCCGGAGAAGACTTAGCGGAAGGGGCACCAGACAAGGGAAGGGAAGCATCGGCCGGTCGGGAGAGTCCTGGAATGGAAGATGCAGGTATCCACAGAGACCAGCGACTACGCATGACGACTGCGCCAAAATCACGTAAGGAAAAAGAGGGTACAGCACAGGTCGGGCGTGAACTGTCGCGCATCGTGGGTTGGAATATAGTTACAGCGCGAATGCAGTGCGATCATGATGACGTATGGCGGTGTAGTATAGCGGCGGGAATGTGAGAGGAAGCGAAACGGGAGGGGTTGAAGAGGCCCAGGGTCTAACAAAAGATCTAGTGTAACAAACAGCAATTAATAGATTAGTTCATGGTACGCGTGGAGTCAGTCGTAAAGTCAGGAGCACGAGAGTCGATGTTCGGGGTAATCAGCCTGTCATTCTTGCATAAGTCTCGGCATCTACGAGGCAGAACTCGAACGCACCTCATCCATATCCGTCCACCGCCAGACTTATCGCGGACGACATCCCAGAGACTACGCCGGGTGGTGCCGTCCTCGGAAGCTTTGACGGCGTCCAACAAGCTCTGGCGGCCTTCCTTGGTACCCTCGGCCTCTAGAACCCACTCGCCCTGCCAACCCTCCCCTAGCGCATCGCCTGCCTCCGTCTTGGAGTGCGGGCCGACATAGGGTATCCGGGCAAGCCAGATGTACTTTTTGACGACCGCGTACCCGCCGGGGCTGTGTGGGCTTGAGACGCGCGAACGAACGTGCGACAACGTCAGCTGCGCATAGGGGCCGTCCGAGTGCGTTCGGCCGCGCAGCGAGCGAGCCCCCGTAAAGTTGCTAGGCAGCGGAGGCAAGGCGAGCACAAAGCGTGGGTCGGAGAACGGAGGAAGGATGTGGGAAAAATAGAACGGGGACGGGAGTGTTAGGCTATTCTCGACCGGTGGCGGAGAGGGTGGAATGTAGTGTACAAGGCAGTAGCCGTTGAACAGCAGCCATCGTCGACGCTGACCAGCTCGTTCGCGGTCGGATTTTGAGACAGGAGTCGATACCTGGGAAGCGCTGTCGTGTTCGAGAGGCGGAACGAATCCGAAGTTGCAGACGATGTCGCCCGCAGACAGGGACTTCCACAGGTCGGCGTCTATCAACTGCTCTTCGCATGCGGTTATAGCGGTCTCGTCCAACTGCTGACAAGGCACAAAGACTCGCAATATCGGAGCACGGAATCGTGAAGTCGACGTGCAGATGTCTTGCAGTGATGAGGGAGGAGGTCGGCCGGCAGATCCGTACGAATTCAATGGTTTCGCGGTTTCCCTGGGACTGATGCTAGACGCATCGGTAGTATAATCCGTATGAGCATTGCTCCGGGACGGGGACGGACTGGTGCTGCCGGCAGATGACTCCAGGGACCGATGCAGGGAAGACGACCGCCTTTCATGGAACTGAGGTCTCGGCAATGGGTCATCCTCTTCATCAGACACAACACACGAACTAAAGGTAGACCTCCCATGGACCAGTGTCTGCCGCCAGCTGCCAACGTAGTAGCCAAGGGCGGGAGGCCTCTCGGACGGAGGTGGCAGCGGAACCTTGGGGCCCCCGTTCAGGACCGAAAGAACCGGACGCAGGGAGTTGCGACTGCGCGACTTTGAGTTGCGCATCGAAAAATCGCTGGATGCACGAGATCGCTCGGCAGTCGAGTACCGTTTGCGCAATGTGCCTGTGCTACCACGCCTGCCACTCGACCGCGCAGAGCTAAGTATGTCCGCGCGGTCCTTCTGATGCGAGTTCTCCGATTCGAAGACAGCAAGCGGCTTCGGGAACACAAGTTCTCGGACACCAGGCGATGTCGGCATACCCTGCGAGTTAGGCCAAAGAGTGAAGTCGTCTGAGTCGTAAGGGGAAGTGACTGCATAGCCACTGTGGACCAATGCTTGGAGTAGCAGAACTATGCGTGTATGTGTCTGTGCCAGGGACACCAACTTTGTCGTGTAATGGTCAGTCGGCGGTCTCTCCACTACATAACGAGGGGAACCCAGGATGGCTAGAGCATGCATGGGATAAATGTGCAGAGGAAATTCCTGGGATAGGTCTGTAGGTGTGTGACGTCAAATATAGGGTACAGTCGGGACAGGGACATGGACGTACGAAATAGAGCGAGGTCCTCGATGGTTATGTCCACAGAGAGCTCTGTGATATGTCTGTTCCCCAAAGCGAACTTGTAGCCCGGTACGAAATGAGCAAGTATGACATCACGAAGTTCTGGACGAGTGAAGATCTGCCTGAAACTCCTGCACGTATTGAGTAAGTCGTGGAAGGATGGCCACTGTGTAGCCACAAGCAGTAGGGAAAGAGCTGAGGGGTCATGAAGCATCCGCCGCATGCCTTCATAGGAAGATAGGAGCCCTGCAGCTCTGCGCTTTCCTAGTGCTACAGTAGAAGCCTTGGCTATCATCGGAGTAGCTGTCGAGGGCGACTTGTGCTGCACAGTGCCCGTGGGTAGCGGAGGTAGAGGCCTTTCCCTGCCATTCGAGGAAGCCGGCAATGGTGGGGACTGTGAGGTCCTACTCGATGGCAGCCCAGCCACTGCGGCCATAGTTATCAGGGATGGCGAAGACGGCGGGGACGGTGAGGACGAAGAGGAATGGAATCCAGGGGGCTGTCAGCAAGAGATGGTGGTTGGCATGAAGAAAATGGGAGTAAATAATGTCTCTGGGTCATTTCGGGCTCGGAACGACTGTGTCGGAGCACGGCGCGTTACGTATTGCACCCGTCCGAGGACATGGTTTTATCCGGCACGTGGGTTCCACGGCCGGCGCTCGCTTCATCCGCATGATGCGTAAATCGCGGCCTGCAACTCTAATATATTAATCCGCACAACCCCCAGGGCCCAACGATCTGTCACGTCGGAGCAGAAAAGAGCAGCGACCACATATCTTGCCTACGAGGCTCAGCGTGCCGACGGCGCCCGTGCATGACTCAAGCATTGCCCACCAGCGACACAAGTGGAGCACTCTCCAGGTTGCCATGATGCTGGAGCTGCGTTTATGCGATCGGCAAATGATTCAGATATATCATGACACCCTCGTACGATATGCCGACGACAGAGACCTAGCACGCGATACACCGTTTTCTATCGACGCTTTCGCCGACCCGCGTGGGCTCACCATGTCCCGCAGGGACCCGCATGGAATGCCCCGGGGAAGCGGATGGCTGGCCTCCGTCAGCGCGAGTTTACGAATTAGTCTCAATCTTTGCGCCGTTTTTGAGACACAGGGTGGGAAGAAGTCGAAACCTATCACATAGTGAGGCCTCCGCCTTATTCCTCCAAAACGGCGCTGCTACGGTGAGGGGACTCTGGCCTAAATCGGTGAGGGCTTATGCGCTCATGCTTTCCCTAAGCAGCAGAAACTCATTCCTAAAAAGACTTAGAGACCGTATCCCCGCTTTGGCACCGTTCCAACGATAGCACGAAGTTCTGCAGAGCTCTGCATGGTCTCTGCGCAGGCATTCTCGAGTTCGCTGCATTTCGGCACAAACGGCGTTGCATCGGCATGGAAAGTGTACCTTTCCTCCTATTTTTGCCCATGATTGTGTCGTGGTTTTATTCATTGGAACGCGACCGCAGTCGCGCTGCCACTTCTGTCACTCGCTGCAACAAACAGCTACGACTGGACAGCCTGTGTTCATGGCGAACAAAGCATTAGTCAAAATATGTACGATCTTTCCACACGCTATGCTCTTGCCGTTGCGCAGCTCACAGGGTCTTACTGCGGCACCTTGCCAACCTGTTGTCTTGATGCCTTTGGTTCCGTCTTCATCGGTGCGTCTGCCATGATGGGCGGTCGCACATGCTAAACATGAACGCCGCATAGCGTAACAATCCAGGGCTCTGATATACTGGCACTACACACTGTGTACCAGTGTGTGGAAGCACATCTATCACGATAGCGCCACCCAGTCACTTCACTGTTGGCGGTTGCTTGGCTGGACGCCTGATCTCTATGAACTGCCACAGCGCCCAACGTTGAACCGTTCACTAGCTGCTCATCTTGCTCGACGTCTATCTTTGGTCGTTGAGCACAATTAGCAATAGTGTGCTGCCTTTCCCTGGGCTATCTAGAGTGGTCAACGAATAAAGCCCGCGGGAGATGCTAGCGACAGCGCACTCACCAGTTTTCGCCCGCGCTCCTTTTCTCTTTCTCCTTGTGCCGCCCTGTTCATAGTGAGTACTCGGCAACAATCTTCTTGCAGCGTCAACTTGATCATTACGACCAGCTGATCGCAGGAATCAGAATGCAGCCAACCTTCTTCCGCTTCATGTTCTTCGCGCTGCTGGTCCCTCTCGGGATCTTTGCGCTGCCTCTGCGAAACACATCAGTCTACCCAGTGTCCCCGGCGAAACTTGAGTTTCACTCTGCCCGCGCTGAAACTTTGCTTGTCAACCCTGGGCTGGCAAGTGCTAGAGAGACCAGTGGCTGCCGGAGACTGCGCCTCCTAGGCGTACAAATTAAGACTTGTGCTGTGCATATGGTAAGTGGCGAATATACTAGCAGTACGTATAGCGCTGAAGATTTAGACAGACCAGTGGGCACTAACCACGCTTCGGCGGAACCCTCGGCATCCACTGTTGTTGAGCGCACCGTTATCAAGTTTGACCTTCAGATGTTCTTTACACTGTACTTGCTCTCTTTCAGATATTTTGGTGATTCAATCTACTACGCTCATTCTAGACTCGGACTATGTACAGCACTAGTATCTCGTGCATGTTACTACCAATATCTGCCGGACAGCCAAGTGATGGACTGCAGCACCTGCCAGAAATGGAAAAGCGATCACAAGTCGTCACGTCACCGTAACATCCTTCTCCGAAGGCGCGTGTCACGCCGCCCCTTACCGTTCACTCTACACACCATTTCACTCTCCTCATGGCCGAAGTGAGAAAAATAGTGCTCTGTGTGCTCGGTATACCTAACTTGAACGCCAGCAGAAAGGCGAGACCCTTGAGCGCGAAATTTTCGGCTCGGACTCTGACCTCTCAGAGGACGAGTATGACGGTGCGTGCCAACGCTTCCTAGTCCCCTTCTCTGCTTGACCGAACAGCGCCTCCTCAGCCCCGTCAGCTGTCCGCTCCAGGCAGTCACCTCACGGCGAGACCGCTGAATCTTCCGGCGAGGACGGTGAGGAAGCCCAGAGGGAGAAGCATGAACAAAAGCAGAAGCAGAAGCGGACGCGGCGGCGCAAGGGCGAGGACGGTGACGCAGAGGGGCGTCCTGCGCAACGCAAGCGGAAGAGGCGGGTCCAGCCCGAAGAGATTGACTTGAGCCAGCTGCCCCCCGAGGAAGGTGCGTTGCTTACATGCCGTGTTGCTGGTGCGGATACTGAGATGCGGACAGCAAGGAGAGCGCAGATGGCCATGCGGATTGATGCCATCCTGAAGCCAAAGAAGGCATCGCGGCCCCGAAAGCACAAAAACGAGGATGATATTCTCGATCGTGCGGCTGACGAGGTGGTGTCCAGGCTTCGGGAGGATATGTTGATAGTTGCGATACGTGACGAAGAGGCCAACAAGGAGAAGCTGCCTGCGACATCGAAGCTTCGGTTGCTGCCACAGGTTGTCGAGACGTTGCGAAAGTGCGTGGTCCCCTCAGTAGTAAATCAATCTTGCGCTGACCACTCTGTAGGGCCGCCTTAGCCCAGTCCATCGTGGACAACAATTTGCTCGAAGGCGTCCGGCGGTGGCTCGAACCACTACCCGACCACTCGCTCCCTGCTCTCGACATTCAAAAAGAGTTCTTCCCAATTCTGAAGAAGATGGAGTATATCGACAAGGATGTCCTCAAAGAGTCGAAGCTCGGCCGTGTCATCGTGTTCTACACCAAGTGCAAGAAGGTCACGCCCGACATCCAGCGCATCGCAAACGACCTCGTCTCGCAGTGGTCGCGGCCTATTATCAAACGCAGTGCATCGTACCGCGACCGTACCATCGAGACTATTGACGTCCGTGGCGAGGCCGGCACACGTCCGGGCGAGCGGCTCAACACCATCCTGGCGCGTGCACGGGAAAGCGACAAGAACAAGGTGCGCAAGAATGCTGTTTCGATCCCGACGAGGGAGCTGGGCAGTTATACGGTTGCGCCGTCGATGAGCGCCGGCATCATGAAGGACAACAAGAGTGTCGACGTCGATATCGACCGCCGGAAGAGGAATGCGGAGCGGATGAGACTGCTGACGAGAAAGGTTACGACGAAGTAGTTACTTCCTTATGCTGAACGATTTTATATTTAGTGCCCTTTCACGAGTTGTACACATACGTTTTCTTCTAATTTAATCATTATCCTCTGTTTCTATACGAGCCTCGCTACGTCAGGATTCACGAATTGTTCCACCTTGAAACCATCCCCAGGACTCTTGATGAATCCGGCCTTCTCAAGCACACTGACGAAGGGTCAGCGTTACGGGCGAGAGTCGTATACTTAGCCACCTACGTGAGAGTATCTTCAATGACTTTAGTGTCAATCGTGGCGCAGTCTGGAGGATAGCCGACAGTTGCAAGCCATGCCTACACCGTACTCTTGAATACAGGAATTGGAATGTGGAGCTCTGCGGCATACCTTGATGTCTTCCTCACGATATCCGAACTTCTCCCTGATGAACTCGACATCGTCCTTCTCGCGCTTCTCTTTCGAATCGAATACGCGAACGTAGCCAGAAAGCTGCTGTAGGAAGGTGCTGAGAGCCTGAGCAGGTGCACGGGTCGGATGTGCTGCGATCATCCAGGACGGCCAAGGGGTGGGCACAGAGCCAATCTATATGACAAGGCTGCTTTAACAAGTAATGTGGGGAGCTTGATGGCGAGGACTCACGAAGCGAACTTCGCCTGCATCCTGGTAAGGCTTGGTTGTGAACCATTCCCACATGAAGGCACTAGTCGAGCCGTCATTGACCGAGTCGATGAGACCCCGAATGTCGTTGTTAACTGTTTAATGGTCGGCCTACTATGCTTAGCACAGATATGATGATGCGCGTGCCTTTGAACAGGAGATTGTCGGTAGGCCACCCTTGTTGCAAGGCCATTACGTAGGCCATAGTTTGACTCCCACTATCCAACATTCAGCCAACCGCATGCGCATCGAAATAAGCTGCCACACCTTCCAAGCCTTGAGATACCGATGGTCGTGCCATTAAGATCTTCGATGCGCTCGTACTTGGTGTTCTTCCCAGTAATAACGGCCCTATTATTGATTAGCTAGGGTGGATGTGAAGAGCATCACTATACCAGTTCAGTGGGGTGCTGACGTAGCTGCCAACGAGCTTGTAAGCCTCAGAACCCTTGGCGATGCCGGAGATGAGAGGGTCCGTGAGGGCACTAAAGGTGCTTCAGTGGGTGCGCTTTCAGGCCATCGGAGAGACTAAGCTCACATCGCGACATCGATCTCGTCGTTGGTCAGCCGAGAGATAAGTTGGCCAGTGCCGCCTATGCCAGCATAAGTGAGACATTCCGTAGGGTAACACGGGTGCGTTACGTACTAGGACACTCAACGAGAGTGAAGGTCTCGCCAGCGTCGTCCGCCGCGAACTGCAGAAGCGGGGAGGAGAAGTGCTCGCGAACTATGTACGCTCTATGAGTCTGCTGTACTTTGTGAACGCGTACAGACATACCATAACCTATTCTGAGGACCATGGTGGGGTCTGTCTGAAGTGTACGCGAGAGCTGACTGAATCTCAGGGGAAATTTCCCTTGAGATTCAGTCAGCTCTCGTATGATCTCATAACGATGATACAAATCTAATCTTATCTCAATCTTCCCAAGCGAGGGTTCTTGCAGGGTTCTTGACTTCTTGTCCTCGCTCTCCGTGTTGTACAACAGGTGCGTATCAACATATCAAAACGCGCCAGAAAATTACTAATCAAGTCATTTTAGACTTCAGGTGCACTTGGCTGGATAGGTCTCGCTAGTTTCGCTGCGGCTCTCCGTTACGCCATGAGTTGCACAACCAACGATATAACTGCTCCTCAGCAATCAACTTGGTGTATCCCTCTAGCTCTGGATCTGAGGACGAGCGTGCTTTACACGTACAGCTAGTCACAGATATCTGTCGAAGTTGTACGTCGATGTTCAAGGTGATACGAGAGTCTGAGCGCTTGACCCGGGGTTCAATCGAGAACGGTTGTTCGATTTCTTGTCAGCCTCTCTGAGGATGACGCCGTCTCTTTGAGAATATGAATGCCCTCTTGAACGCGAACCTTTCCCTCGTGGTCTCCCCGGCTCCCTCATCAAGCTTCACCTTTCCATCGCTATGCCCCACACTCTTTACATGGCTCACATAAAGTTATCCGCTCTGCTCGCTCTATCACTCTCATTGTTTGCTTGCACAGCACCTGCCCCTTTAAGTTCACCAACCCTGACCGGGACTGCACTCGGCCCTTCCCCGACTGTCCCCTACGCCAGCGACGACCCGAACGTCGAGGTCTTTCCGCAGAACGTACATGATCCTGGCTATATCCCCGAGCCGATACGTGGAAAGCTTGGGTCGGATATCCTTGCCCAACAGAACGTTCCGCTCGAGCTGGAGAATCCGACTTTGTTAGCACCGCCAACTACCGATCACGGCTACGTGTAAGTTGCTTGGTCGTGCTGTCTGCGATTATACTGAAGCTCATATGATATTTAGGCCCAACGCACACTGGCCGTTCACTCTCAGCCACAATCGTCTCCAAACTGGAGGCTGGGCTAGGCAGCAGAATGGTAAGCGTCCCCGTCGCTGTACGGCATCGCGTCAAGACTAATATATCTTCAAGTGAACGATATGCCTATCGCCAAGAACTTAGCTGGGGTTGACATGCGTCTTGAAGCCGGCGCAATTCGGTGAGTAATGTGGCTAGCTAGGTGTGCGCAAACTCATGCATTGCAACGAAGCGAGCTTCATTGGCATTCAACAGCCGAGTGGGCATACGTTCTTGCCGGAACGATGCAGGTCACCACCGTCACGCCCGAGGGCCAGAACTACGTCGGCACTGTGGTAGGCACACAGCCACTGCGCTTTTGGCCGCGGCTGACCTGGCAAGCGTAGCACCCGGGAGATTTGTGGTATTTTCCACCTGGTCAGCCCCACAGTCTCCAGGCGACAGCAGATAACCCCCAGGGTGCAGAGTTCCTTCTTGTGTTTGATAATGGCACCTTCAACGAAGGCGCTACATTCTTAGTTAGTTTTCCATGCCTTGTTTCGAAGACTCAGGCTCACCTGTTTTTCTCAGTTGACCGACTGGCTTTCTCATATCCCGAAGGAAGTCATTGCCAAGAATTTCCAGACTAGCATTTCCGCCTTCGATCACATTCCCGACCAAGAGTTGTACATTTTTCCCAACAGCCCTCCGCCAGATAATCAACAGCCACCTGTTAGTCCCTTCGGCACGACTCCGGAGCCCTATACCTACGAGTTCTCCAAGGTGCCAGCTACACAACTTGCTGGTGGGACGGTCAAGATGGCAGACTCTACGACTTTTAAGGTCTCGAAAACGATTGCGGTTGCCGAGTTCACGGTCGAGCCCGGTGCTATGCGGGAACTCCATTGGCATCCTACGTTCGACGAGTGGACCTATTTCCTGTAAGTGGTGTCTGGGTGACATCAAGCTTGTTGTTGAGGCGTTGATTACAGCGAAGGTCAGGGTCGCATGACCCTCTTCGCAGCCCAGAGCAATGCTCGGACCTTTGACTACCAAGCTGGTGACATCGGCTACGTTCCCGCGTCTTACGGTCACTACGTCGAGAATACTGGCAATACAACCCTCAAGTTCTTGGAGATCTTCAAGACTGGTTAGTGTCTCCAAGTTTGCTAACCACGCGCATTCCATCTGACCTGCTGTCCTTTGCAGACCACTTCCAGGACGTCAGTCTGAGCCAGTGGTTAGCACTGACTCCCCCAGAGTTGGTGAAGGCGCATCTGGGTATCTCGGATGAGACCATTCAGCACTTCAGCAAGACCAAGCCGGGCGTTGTCGCTCCTTATATCCCAGCTCCGAACTGAGATACCCTTGTAACATGGCTGCGTGAGCACCCCACCACATAACAGACCGTTAAACGCTTCCGAGTCCATGAATGACCGTACTAGCCAACGAAAGATACACATATGTGCAAACTGTCTAATGCAAGTGCAACACTCGCCATGCCGTCAGTCCGTGGGAGTGGGATGACCGCAAGTCTAGGGGATTAGCTTCAGCCTGAGTTTGCAATGGATTTTAAAGTACAACGTCGCCGATAGCAAATCCCGTCAGCCTGCGCACAGCAAGGGTCGAGGCTTTCTAGATTCTATATTACTCAAGTGACACTATGGAATGAATGCTGCTTCGCAATTGATGGTGTAAGACTAGTACTGTGTCATGGCAGGTCTGCGAACGAGCCTTTCTTAGCGCTTCGTGGCGTACCTGATAGCACCTAACCCTAAGTCCAGAATGCCCGAGGCATCTCCTAAGTCGGCCCTGAAATTTCGTGCTCCCTTACTTTAAGGCCATCTTCGGCTACTGCTCCCGCAGCCCTCCCGCCTGTCCGCTCTTTCGGTTCCTCTAAGAGTCCAGAGAGGTTGCAGCCGCGCATTTCCCCCGCTCGAGTCACTTCCTGCGTGCTCCTCCTACAAATCGATCGCGCGCCATCTCGCCCGCAACCCTGCTATCACTACTACGACCCACACTCTCCGTGTACTATACAAGCCTTCCGGTATTCTTTTCAAGGCGATCTCTGTCTACTATGGCCCAGAGGATCCGCGAAGCTGAGGGCGTCCTCCGCGACATACCAAAACCTGGCGAAGTCATGTAAGAGTCGCGTGAGGTTCAAGGGATGAAACTTCGCTTACGCACTTGGCTTTGCAGCTTGCCAGTCTCGGGTGAACGCAATGTCCTTATTACTTCTGCGTTGCCCTATTGCAATAACGTACCACATCTTGGTGAGTGCGATCTCCATGCGCGCGATGTATCCTTCCTTACGAATACTGTTCGCCAGGAAACATCATTGGCAGTACGTTGAGTGCAGACGTCTTCGCGAGGTACGTGAGTGTCTTGTAGTTCCTGGTCGCTCTCCTTACACTATCTGGGTCAGATATAACCGTAAGAAATTGTCATCACTATGTAGATCGAAACTCACTACAATGATTTCGGTTAGGTACTCGAAATCGGAGAACTCTCTATATCTGCGGTACCGACGAATACGGAACTGCGACCGAGACTCAAGCTCTGAAGGAGGGGCTTACTCCGAAGGAACTGTGCGACAAGTACAATGCTTTGCACGCAGAGACGTACAATTGGTTCCAGCTTTCGTGCGTGCTCAGTTTCCTCCCTCTTTCGAGAATACTCAGACAGCCTTCAGATTTGACTACTTTGGTCGGACATCAACGCCTGCGCACACTGAGTGCGTGTATCCATCGATCTCTCTGTCTTTATTTCGCTGACGGTCGCGTAGAATCTGCCAATCGATTTATCTGAATCTGAAGAAAAATAATCTGCTCGAAAAGCAGACCAAGGCCCAAACATACTGCACAGGCTGCGAAAAGTACGCTTGTACTTCGCTAAGATCGCGAGGTCGTAGGCTGATCCATCTCTAAGGTTCCTGGCTGATCGCTTCGTTGAGGGAACCTGCCCACATTGTGGTGCCGACGTGCGTTGTACCAACGCTCTGCTCTGCTCTGAACCTTTTCTCACGCTGTTTATAGGACGCAAGAGGTGATCAATGCGATTCCTGTGCGAAGACCCTCGACGCTATCGACCTCATCAATCCGCGGTGCCTCGTCAATAAGGATCACAAGGTTGTTGCGAAGGATTCCGCCAACATGTATGTCAAGCTCGACACAGTCCAGCCTCAGACTGAGGAGTGGATCAAGAAGTCGTATAAGGAGGGCCACTGGTCATCTAACTCTGTCATCAATGCCGACGGAGAGCTCGTCGACTCTCGTCTGAAGAGCGGCCTACGTCCGAGTCCCGTCACGCGAGATCTAACGTGGGGGGTTCCCGTACCAGTCAGCGAACAAGATGAGGATCAGAGCATGAAGGGCAAAGTCCTGTGTAAGTTTTCTATCACCTCTGCTTCTCTCTCACTCCTCATTGACACCATTGCAGACGTCTGGTTTGACGCGCCAATTGGATATCCGAGTATCACTGCCAACTACACCTCGGATTGGACGCAATGGTGGCTCAATCACGAGAATGTTCGTCTATTCCAGTTCATGGGTAAGGACAATGTCTACTTCCACACCATCTTCTTTCCCGCAATACAACTCGGTGACGGTCGCCCATGGACCATGCTTCACCATCTTTCGACAACTGGTGAGTATATGCTATGCCACGCTTAGTGATAGTATTCTGATCGATAAATAGAGTATCTGAACTACGAGGGTGGCAAGTTCTCGAAGAGTCGCAACCGCGGCGTATTCGGTCCTGCAGCTAAGGAGACTGGCATGCCCGTCTCTGTCTGGAGGTATTACCTTATCTCCACAAGACCCGAGACTGCAGATTCCATGTTCTCGTGGGCTGATTGTGTGAGTGCCGTGATATCGGTGATGCGCCAAAACCTAACGCACCTCTGCACCAGATTGCTGTGAACAACAATATCTTACTGAACAAGTGCGTCCTTTTCCCCTCGAAAGCCTGTGATGCCGTACTGATGCGCTCAATAGCTTCGGAAACTTCGTCAACCGGGCGCTGAAGTTCGTCTCTGCCGTCTTCGACGGAGTTATTCCTGACAGCGAGGACGCTCCCGGCCCATACTCCACCGACGACCAGGTTGACGCCGAGTTCTTTAAAGACGTCAACAGCCTTCTGAAGGAGTACGTCGACGCCATGGAGTATGCCAAGCTCCGTCTTGGTCTCCAGACCGTCATGGCAGCCTCTGCTCGTGGAAATGCGTACCTACAAGCCTCCGGACTTAACAAGGCGCTACTCGAGTCCGATCCCAAGCGCTGCGCCCAAGTTGTCTCTCGCGCCGTCAATCTCATCTACGTCCTCTCTGCTCTTGTGCATCCCTTCATGCCCGAGACCTCCGACTCGATTCTCACGCAACTCAACGCGCCCGCTCGCGCCGTGCCAAGTGTGCTCAGCAACGACATTCTCGCGGGCCACAAGATTGGCGCGCCTGAGCACCTGTTCAAGCGCATCGACGACAAGATGGCAGAAGTATGGCGGGCGAAGTTCGGCGGCAACGAGGCTGCGGCGGAGCCCAATGCCGACGTCACTCATGTCGCGCCCGGCATGTCAAAGCGCAAGGCGGCTGCGGCGAAGAAAGCCGCTGATAAAGCTGCTGCTGACGACGGCCCGAAGAGCGCGGAGGTGTTAGCATGGGAGCAGAAAGTCGCCGCCCAGGGTCATGTTGTTCGTGAGCTAAAGTCTAAACCCAAGACTTCTGAGGGTGATAAGGAGGTTGCGGCGGCCGTCGACGAACTGAAGAAATTGAAGCTTGAGCTGTCGGAGCTCCAGAAGGCGCAGCAGTAAGTCGATATCTCTTAGAAGAAATACGCCTGCTGTACCAGTAGATGCTTCTTAGTGTAGAATAGTGTTTCTTAGATCCAATTACTGTCATAATTGATTGCACTCTTGGCTACTGAGTGCTGCTAGTACTGAGTACCGATTTGGCAATCAGAGACTTTCGATGTTAACAATACCAAACAAAGCGGTACCGCTGCCGATGCCTACACACCGCATCCTGGTCCGCGCTCACCTCGTGGTTCTTTCTCACCTACAAAGCATTAAAAGTATGAAAGAAACCTTTATCGTGAGTTCTTGTGATATGCGCAAGTGGTCCAGTAGCATATAATCATCTCGCATTGAGGTAACGCGAAGGCGGAGGCGGTCAACGATTGTGGTGCCAGACCCGGGACCTTCCACACGTAAGATGCAGAATGCGTCCGAAACTACGCCCCAAACTTCCGTACATATGCAAACGCTCAATGTATCCCAAGGGGGAGTTGATGCCGTGGAACCCGAGGTGACAGTTGAAGAATTCTTGCGGTGGTCGGCGGCCGCTTCGACGTCAAGGAAACGCGTGCGAGGGACGCGCCGTCTCACCAGGCTCCTCGACCCCTCAAGTGATATCCTATGGTCTTCAGAAGTCGAAGACGAGACTTTCCCTATTGCTACGCGTAACCGAAGGCGAGCGCTACCACAGCTTCCTGCAAGCGAAGATGAGTACCAGCCTTCGGAAGATGAGCTTCGGGAACGTCCTGTCCGTAGACGCAAGACGTACAAGGGCAAGGGCAACTCGCTTGCGAGTCGAATGATGCGTGCGGCTGTCTTGTCTCACGTCGACGTCGATACGAGCCACCTTCCCGCTGACGCTCAGGATCGGCAGCCTCTCAAGTTCACAACTATGCATGACGCATCGCCTCCGGCCACCGTTTTAAATGGTCACAAAGCACGCATTATTGATCCTCGTTCCACTTCATTGCATTCATCAGTATTCAATAACAAACCTTCTGCCACTTTCGCCAAACCTTTGATGAAGCCCCGCTTCACGTATCGAATTCCGTCACCTCCACTGCGAGGTGCCTCCTCAACACGAACTGAGAAGTTCATGCTCGATCCAGGCGGAAGATGCAGGGACCATAAAGGCCAGATGCGAATCCAGAAGACGGCAGCAGACGGCCAGAAAAGCTCGCCGTGGTACGTCCTCGACGCATATTTTCAAAGTGCTCAGTCGAACCTTACACCAGGCGGTCAAGACCAGTCGTCGCTGAGCAGCCGGCCATAAGCAAACAATCAACACAGCCTACTATGTATTTCCCTCTGGCTTTCGTCCCTCTACCAGTTACGAAGTGTCCTCCCCCTAGAGCCCAGCCAGCACACCCTGTATCCTCTTTGGACTCTTTCGTTATCGACCTCTGCAGTTCCGACGACGACGAAAAATTTCACAGTAGTCCCTTGTGCATGTCGACTTCCCCCGCCGAGGAGATTTCCGTGGATCTCACAGATACGCGCATCGTCGACAAAGCGATTGGCAATGTACCATCTGCTTCACAGGTGGCACAGAGTTCCCATCTCTAAATCCGCGGGCCGAGATCTTCGACGCGGGCGTAACTGGAAACCTCTGAAATCACCTGGTACTTTAACTGAAGCGGCGAGAGAAATGACCCGGAATGGTTGTGGCATGCAGTCCGTCAACCGCGTGCCCACATGCCGCTCAGAGGCGTTGCAGATCAGGAGGGGAAGACTCATTGCTTGGATCTGGGACAGCCGCGCAGAGTACTAGTCAGCCATCTGACCTATGTACTTATACTTATGCAGTGCCTTGCTCCCAACTTTTGTATCGCTGGACGTATCTTCCATGGCATATTGGAGTCCTCGTTTCTCAGGGAAGTCTGTCCAGCTCCGCCGGCGGCGATGGCGTGGGCGGTGACTCTGATATGGGCGCCTATGCGATTTCATCGACCACTGCTGCAGCGCTCGCATCTTGTTCTAACCCGTCATCCCCTTGCTCCGTCCCCAGGCCTCACCTTTGACGGCTCGCAAACACAAGTATCTTTCATTGCACTGAGTTGCAATTGCTACTGAATAGAACTTGTTCAACATGTGGAACGAGTACCCCGGGAACTCAGGCGGATATCGACCTCCCCCAGGACCACCGCCGCCTGGTGGCGTTCCGCGGTTCCCTGAAGCGTGGGTAGTCACGTAGCTTTACTTTTGTGCTTGGCTGACACGTATCTACGTTCCAGTCCTGGATTCTCGCCTCCGTACGTCGGAACCATTCGCGCATACCTGGTGCGCCTCCCTGATCTTGTGACACAGAGGTTTCCCGGCGCCTGGCGGAGGAGCGCCAGCAAATAGTCCTGGGTATTCACCTGGGTGTGTGAACATGTCGTAGTTTGCATACGATGTCTCAAACCCTTCATTGAAAGGTATGGTGGTTACGCCCCGCCTTTAGGGCCGCCTCCTGGCCCTCCAGAAGGCTCGACCTATCCTGGTCAGCATCATCATCACCATCACCACCACCAACAGGAATTCGCACCGCCTCCAGGACCTACTCCCACCGGTAATTATCCAAGTCCAGCAGGCCCTCCTGGAGGGTATCCCACTCCGGCCGGTCCTCCTCCCGGCGGTGCGTATCCAAGCCCTTCTGGCTTTCCTCCAAGTGGTAGGTTCAATAGCCCGTCTGGTCCTCCTCCAGTCCCGCCAAGAATGAGCCCTGCCGGCCCTCCACCCGGCGTTCCTCCGCGACCTGGTGCGAGGGGCCAGTTTGCGCCGCCGCGTGAGTGACGTACCACTCTATCTCCTATGACCCAGTGCTGAATATAGCGCTCACCTTCCAGCTGGGCCCCCGCCGAGGCCCCCGACTCATCAACAGAATTATGGACCAACAATGCAAGGTCCGGACCGCCAACAAATGCAACCATATTTTCAATATTCGCAGTGCACCGGGAGAAAGAGAGCGCTTTGTGTACGTTCTCATCTCTGCTATGCGTATATCACAAGTGCTCAAGAACGCTCAGATTGGTATCAACTACTTCGGACAATCAGCCGAACTGAAGGGATGCATCAACGATGCGCACAATGTCAAGCGGTTCCTTTGCAGTAAGTCTCACGGCGATATCTCACGGGCAGGTGCCTTCAATCATCTCTCCTTAGGCCAATTCGGTTACAAATCGGAGGACATTGTGATGTTAACGGACGACGCACAGAACCCGAGGCAGATTCCTACCAAGCAGAATATGGTACGTCTGCTGAGATCTGCGCAACGTCTTCGCAGTGCGCTTACACGCCGGAAGATCGAGGCTATGCAATGGCTTGTAAGAGACGCAAAGCCACACGACTCCTTATTTTTCCATTGTGAGCACAACTGGTACTACTCAGTGTAAGCGTCAAGATTTAGACTGGTATGCAGATTCAGGGCACGGAGGACAGACCAAGGATCTTGATGGAGACGAAGCTGATGGCTATGATGAAGTCATCTATCCCGTTGACTTCAAGCAAGCTAGCCATATTGTCGACGATGTAAGTTTCTCGCACGGCTTTCTCGTGCTCGTTGCTGAGAAGAGATGTTGCAGATGCTACACGATATCATGGTGAAGCCACTGCCTCCTGGTTGCCGTCTAACTGCAATCTTCGATGTGGGTCCAGCTACTGTTCGTAGAGTAAATACGGGCTAATGAGTGCGACAGTCCTGCCACTCTGGCTCTGTGCTGGGTAGTTGAATCCTCGCTCGACGTCAGCTATGAGCTCAACCTCATCTATTTCTAGACTTGCCGTACATCTACTCCACTGAGGGCAAGATCAAGGAACCCAATCTGGCTGCTGAAGCCGGCCAGGGCTTATTATCGGCTGTCTCATCGTATGCACGAGGCGACATGGTAGGTATTAAAGCTATTCCCAAAAGGTTAAACCCTCATGTTGCACTTGCTTTGATAGGGCAGTGCCTTTAGTTCCGTCTCAGGCCTCTTCAAGACAGCTACGGGATCCGGACAGCGCGCGGAAAAGATAGCCCGTGCTACCAAGACGAGCCCAGCGGACGTAGTAAGTCTTGTGCCGTATCTGTCGAGGCCCGTCTCAATTTTCGATAATCGTAGATCTCCTGGAGTGGCTGCAAAGATTCCCAGACCAGTGCTGACACGTTTGAGGCCGGCACGGCGACTGGCGCTATGAGCTTTGTGAGTGAACTTCCGAAGTGAGGTGCGGGACTTTGTCGGCTGAACAAACGTTTTACGTAGGCTTTCATCAGCGCACTAAGTACGTACCGTCTTTCCACATTTGCGCGGTCTCCACCTGACTCTATCACAGGCCAGAACCCTCAGCAAAGTTACCAACAGCTTCTCAGTAATCTTCGGTGAGGCCATATCTAGCTTCTGCAATTTTTGGGAGAGATGACTGACAAGTTCTCAATCGATAGGGCTATCTTGCGCGACAAATACAGTCAAAAGCCCCAGCTGTCTGCTTCTCACCCGATAGTGAGTACAGTGTCCGTTGGCAGATGTTAGACTTGCTGAACTCGAATCAGGACACCAGTCTTCTCTTCATCTGTTAGGTTGTATCCGGATCATGGACGATGTGTATTTTAGCTGTGTGTATGCCAACCTCGAAACTGCAGGCATTTCTGGTACCGGTCATCCTTAGTGAGCGTCCGATCGTAAGACATAGCAATGTTTCGGGTCCATCACGACGTGCGGACCGCCTTAAATTTGAAGGAGAGGAACAGCTGACTTCTTCATTGTGATGGCCTCCATCTCAGGTAGGAAATGCTCATCGGCACAGCTGCTGCCGAGGACGTGTAAACGATGGATCCGCGAAAAATTCTTTCCCAAGGGCCGATGGAGGGCGGTCAGCGGGGACCGTTTGCGCAATCTGACGCTTTAATTCCCACAAGGACAGCTCTAGACGGCCACGGCATATGTCAAGATCGCTAATACTGAGGCTAGGCTATCATGCCTTGAGGTGCGCACTGGCTGCACGACTCACGTCCAGGCTCAAGAGGCATATCAAGAAGCAGAGCAGCCGCACAAGGGCGAGGGCACAGCATATGACGTTCTGTCTTTGTCTTGCACGCACCTTCGGGGGCAGTTGAGGGGTGAGCAGAATCATTCCATCAGCCGTTCTTATCTCAGATGTGCGGAGTCGCCATGTTCCCCATCTGGGGAACTAAGCATCCTTGGCACGGTGTGGGGTTCTCAGATGTTCCTGGCAAACGCGACCCATTCGACCGCCCGCTAAACTCTCTCCCGCGCAGACGATCGGAAAAACTCTCGTATAAAGGACATCAGTGCGCAGAGATTGAGCTGACTTCCATCCCTCCCCTCTACCGCAGCTAAGTCATGGCAGGTGGTCCCGTTGCCGCAGCTTCCAGCCGTCGAAAGGCCCTCCAGGGCAAGTCCGGATGGGTGAGTATCATGTCGTCGGCGTTGTGGCCGTTGAGGTACTCATACGCTACGCTCACAGGCGGGGTTGATGCATAATGCGCGGGTGTTCCTCATTGCCGTGTTCGCCTCGCTAGGTGGCTTGCTTTATGGTTATAATCAGGGTGTCTTCTCTGGTGTCTTGGAGTAAGCTCGTCTCACACAACGGACCGTGAAGGACATTCCTAATGCGCATTTAGCATGAAGAATTTTGACAACCGCATGGGAACCGCAGTCTCAGACCCTAACACCGAAGGGTGGCTTGTATCTGTCCTCGAGCTTGGTGCATGGTTCGGCGTGCTTTGCACTGGCTACCTCGCCGACAAATTGTCAAGAAAGTACACGATTGTGCTTGGTAAGTCAGGTAGTTTGCCCAATGGGTTTGCGCACTCACCCTGCTCTACGCAGCCGTCTGCGTCTTCTGCGTCGGTGTCATCGTCCAGACATCCGCATTCCACCCCTCGTCCATTTTCGGTGGTCGTTTCGTAACTGGTCTCGGTGTTGGATCCCTCAGTATGGCTGTTCCCCTCTACAAGTACGTCTCTGACTACGTGCTTCGCACACAAATCTGACGAAATGTTTGCAGTGCCGAGCTCGCACCACCCGAGGTTCGTGGAAGTCTGGTCGCTCTGCAGCAGCTTGCCATCACTTTCGGAATCATGGTGTCCTTCTGGATCGACTACGGTACCAACTTCATTGGCGGTACTGGAGAAGGCCAGAGCGAGGCCGCCTGGCGTATCCCATTGGCCCTACAGCTCGTGCCTGCCATCATTCTTGGTGTTGGGATTATGTTCATGCCGTTCTCGCCACGTTGGCTCGTGAACAATGGGCGCGATGACGAAGCCTTGACTGTGCTTAGCCACGTTCGCAGCCTTCCCCAAGACTCAGATATCGTGCAAATCGAGTTCTTGTACGTGTACCCGCTTTCGTCACGTGAGAGGCAATGCTGACAGCGCCATCAGGGAGATCAAGGCCCAGTACTTGTTCGAGAAACAGACGAGTGCTATCAAGTACCCTCACTGGCAAGATGGCTCGTTCTCCTCCAACTTCAAGCTCGCCTTTTTCGACTATCTCAGCCTTGTCACCACACGCACCTTGCTCTTCCGCACGGCCATTGGTACATTGACGATGTTCTTCCAACAATGGACCGGTGTCAATGCCATTCTTTACTACGCACCTACGATCTTCCAAGAGCTCGGTCTCACTGGCAACACGCTTTCCTTACTCGCAACTGGTGTCGTCGGTATCGTCATGTTCCTCGCGACGATCCCTGCCGTGATCTGGGTCGATAATACGGGTCGCAAGCCCATCCTCGTCTCCGGAGCCTTCATCATGGCCGCCTGTCACATTATTATCGCCATTCTCACCGGCCTGTTCCACAAGGATTGGGCCGCGCACAGGAGTGAAGGCTGGGCTGCATGCGCGCTTGTCTGGGTCTTCGCTATGGGTGAGTCTTCCACACGATGCTATCTCATTCTCATGGCTAATGCCTTTTGCAGCCTTCGGCTACAGTTGGGGTCCTTGCGCTTGGATTCTCGTCGCAGAAATTTGGCCACTCTCAATCCGTGGCAAGGGTGTCTCTATCGCCGCGTCATCCAACTGGATGAATAACTTCATCGTCGGCCAGGTGACGCCGTCCATGATAAAGCACCTTGGCTTCGGCACCTTCGTCTTCTTCGGCACATTCTCATTTCTCGGTGGCCTCTTCATCCTCTTCTTCGTCCCCGAAACCAAGGGCCTCGGTCTCGAGGAGATGGACGAGGTCTTTGGCAGCGTTGGGCTCGCCGCGGCCGACCTGCAGCGTCAAGCCGAGATCGAGAGGTCTCTCGGCCTTACTGTGTACGACGACGATCACGAAAAGCGGGATGTTGATAGTTACGATAAGGATGAGAAGGTGTGAAGCCTTCTCTATCCACGGTGGAGATGATACGCGTTCCCTTTCACGACTGTTCCTTTTCTCGTACTCGTAGTGTACTGTATATCACCTTTGAATTTTGAGCTTTTCCACATCACTACCCCGCTTGTACCTTCCACACGTGCCGAGAACTCCAAACGGAGCGCAATACGATTCGATATGCACTGAGCCGCCACTGGTATACGCAACCGAAAAGTGCGAAGAATGGATCCCAAACTATCTCCCCGAGCGCGCGCAGGCGAATTGGAGAGCTGTGTATCTCCGGGAATGTTACATTTCGTCTAAACCTCAATCCTCCAAGTAAAAAATCGTTAGGCAGGGTGAGGACACAGGTATCATATATCCGCGGATATCATAAATGGACCGGATGACTAGGCTCCGCTAGCAGGAGCCTTAAACTTCTTGTTCGGATAACCACCCGTCGCCCGTCCCATCCCCAAGCGCCGCTTGCTTGCAGCAGCTCCGGTCGGCTGCTGGGACTGCTGAGCCGTTGATGGCGACTTTTCGGGGGCGGAAGGCAGAGCAGGGCTGCTCGAACCGGAAGAAGTTAATGCAGGGACCGCTGGCTTAACCTGAGACGGAGATGGAGATCGGGCATGTGTAGGCCGTGAGGCTGTAGAAGGGACCTTGGGCGCAGAGCGAGCCATGGATACCAGGACTCCAGCTACGGTTTTTGACATCGGCCGAACTACGCCCGTCTCCTTGCGTTGCACGAATGACTCGATGGATGGCTGTTTTGGCCCCCCTGACGGCTCCTTCGCCGCCTTTGCTCTTCCTCTCGGCGCCGCATTCTCTGATATCGGTTTTTCGCCCCGATCATTGACCATAGGGAACGTAGATATAGCACTAGGCGATAACGCGTTCAGTTCTTTCGAGGGCGAGAGCGGCCGCGCGGGTTGAGCATGCCGGTAAACTGGTCGAGACGGCGGCTTGAAGGACATCGTCTTTGCAGAGACGAATGTCGGGGCGTCCGGCGAAGGACACTCGGCCTGATACGACCGGTGTACAGGTGTGCCTTTATTCCAGGAAGCTGCAGAAGAGAAGCCGGTGTTGTAGGTGGATTCTGGATCGGCAGTCCAAAACGAGGACTTTCCCACTCGATTAAGCTCCGCTACTCTCTTCTGTACCTCTGCAGCGTCCGGGGTCGCCCTGTGCAGCACTTTCGCGAGCGTCGTGATCTCCGCTTTCGATAGTTCTGGCGGACTACTCGAGAATAAAGCCGCAGAGTCTGGAATGCCAACGGGCGGAGGGACGCCAGGGAGTACGCTGACGAACTCTGAGAGCCGTTTCGATACCGTCTCGCCAGCCATCATGCGCGAAGATGCGTGAGTGAGATACAGGAGAGCTTGGGCGCGCGTGCATGCAACGTAGAGTAGACGGCTAGGTTTCGAGAAGTCAGAAGTGCATGGTATGTCACGGACCAAGAGGGTCATAAGAGCGACCCACCGTTCCTCCTCTGGGTCCTCTGCACGCGCAGACGGGAACACACCTTCCTCGACTGGGACATGCACGTCATCAGACCTACAAGCTCGAGAAATAGGTGTAGTACGCACCAACGGGGATGAAGACAACGGGCCATTCGAGTCCCTTGGCCGCATGACAAGTCGTGATGGTGACTTTCTACACAGGATGTATTGTCAACCTCTGGGTGTACATTCGGGCGATGACCGCGCACCTGCTTATCCTTGTCGTCTTCGCTAGATTGACCTGTGTCCGTGGATAGCATCGACGCTTGCAGGAAGGCACGAAGGGGTGTGTTCCTGAGGCTGCCTGAGCAATGGTCGGCGAAGAACATAACATGGCTACTTACGCCGCAGCATCTCTACTCTCCGTACCCTTTCTCGCCTGCTTATCATCTCTAGGTTTAACCTCAGCAAATCCCAGATCATCAAGCTCTTCATCGTCGTATTCGTCCTCTTCTCGGTCTTGCCAGTAGTCGTCTTCCTGTGCCGCTTTCGTATCCTCAACATCGACATCGAAGCTCTGGGCGCCGAGTTCGCTCTCCATCTCGCTCGCAAAAGTTATGAGCTCCTGCACGTTTCGCCACCGGCTATCAGCATCCTCCTGCGTCTTCTCAAGGTATTCTTGGTATTGCACGAGATCAAGGAAGCGACGGATCAAGTTTGCAGGAGATAATCCCTACGCTGAGACTTAACACTACACTCAAGCGAGCGTAATATAGGAGGTCGGCATACCTTTAGCGCGAGCTTACGCATGTCCTTCAAAACATGCACGAACTCAGCGACCTTGCGTTTGATAGGCGGCTTGATGTCAGGTATGCGCCCTCCATGTATGCGCTCCACGACCTCGAGCGGTGACAACCCTTTCTTGCCTGCGACAGTCAGAAGCTCCGCGATGGTCTTCTGGCCGATGCCACGCTGCGGCACGTTTATCACCCTCGCAAATGCGGGTGCATACGCAGGGTTATCCACGATCTGGAGGTATGCAAGTACGTCCTTGACTTCAGCGCGCTCGAAGAAACGTTGCCCGCCGAGGATGCGTGTTGGGACACCCTCTTTGCGGAAGGCACTCTCAAATACGCGAGAAAGGGAGTTGTATCGTACTAGATGTATGTCAGAAACAAGGAAGAACGTTGTAATCGGGCAAATCACGCACGAAGGATGGCGCAGTCATCGTATCCAAGTGTTCCACCCATATGCGCGACAACACGCTTGATTTCGCCCGCGATTGCACTAGACTCCACCCGGTCAGAAGGAAAACAATGTAGCGTTGGCTGGGGCCCTTGTGGATGCGTTGCATGCAGTGTCTTCTGGATGCGGGATTTGTCTGTCGATGATGCTTCTGGTGAGCACGATCCAGGTGGGATTATGTTCATATGCGTACCCTGCGCAACGATTGCCACGCTTACTGCCAGGATAGAACCGGTACTCCGGTAATTGTCTTCGAGAAAGATTTGCTGAGTCGCCGCAAAGTCTATTTTGTAGGAGGATAATTGGTGGTGTCAGCAACCCGCATATACCCATGTGCATGCGACGAGCAAACATACCACGACGCATTTTTGCAAGATTTTCGACTTCGGCAGAGCGCCAGCCGTAGACTAAGCGTGTCGTCAGTGGATGCTCCTTTCTTCGTGCGGAACAGACTGAAGACGCACTGGACTGGTCCGGGTCACCGACAACAGTGATGCTACGACTGGCCGCAGCAAGGCTTCGCATGAGTTCATATTGGACATTGTTGGTATCCTGGCTATGTATCATCTGTTAGTGCCTGTAGCACCGCCTGACACCGCTAAAAAGATGACGTACAACTCATCGACGAGAACATGCGTACACCAGCGCCCGACTTGTGGATTTTCAGAGAAGAGACGCACACCATATACGAGCAGGTCATCGAAGTCGAGGGCATTGTGGTCTCTTAGGATGAGCTCATAGTTTGCATATAGATTCGCCACCACGAAATCGATTGTTTCCTTGATATTGCACGATTTGAGCTCATGTTCCAAATGCTCCGTTGTGAGGGCAAAAAAGGACTTTTCCTTTACTTTGCCCTTGGATGAGGTATGGGAGGAGGCGTGAAATGAGTCCAGAAGGTCGTGTGGAGAGAGGCCTTTGGCCTTGGCTTGTGATATGCGGGACGAGATTGTCCCTTCGCTCAGTGTAATCGAGCATCTCTTCAGGAACTCCTTCAAGTCCGGCTCTTTCAGCATCTTGCCTACGATCTTCTTGCTACCCACTCGGCATCAGCATACTACGCCCGCTTCGGAAAACCGAGGCACACACACCTCTCATCCGCATCGCATACCGTAAAATTCCCACTTATACCCACAAGCGTAGCATACCTCCTCAAAAATTGTGCGCAGAGTGCATGAAAAGTCCCCATCTTGATCTGCCGGACATGCTCCTTATCCAGCATCCTCCCGAGGCGCGTGCGCATCTCCAGCGCAGCCTTGTTGGTGAACGTTACAGCGCATATATTCGAAGCAGATATTGCATGCACATTGATGAGATGGACGATACGGGAGGTGAGAACTTTCGTCTTGCCGCTGCCAGGCCCCGCTAGGATTTGGAGAGGTACGTGCGGCGGGTGCTGGGCGGCTGTCATGAGTTAGCCGGGGAATGTAAATGCATGGTTTAGTCTTGAGAGTATTTTCTCTACAGCGAACCAACCTCTGAGTTGGACTTCGTTGAGCCCGTCAAGGTGAGCGATTGACATCGTCTGCGTAAGTCTACACTAGGGCGCCAACGCACCGCAACCGCGTTCGCGTCGAATCACGTGATCGCATCCCATCAATGGAGCGTCCCGCGCTGTGGTTTCAAGTATTCAACTTGAATATACCTCCTCTCTCTCGGCAGACGGATTTCCAGTACGCAAAGTCTAGCCAATTTTGCGAACTTCGTATCGGCTTTGAATTCTTTCCAATCCAGTGCTACTGGCTTGCAAAGTTCAGCCCTCTTCGCTGCGGTCTTGGATACAGATACATTGACATGGATCTCCAGACAGATCGTCAGGCCCCACTCTAGCCTAGCAGCTAACGTCGCTAATCTCGAACCTCATTTAACTTACCAACTGCTGTCGTCGGCTTCACACCGGTCAGCGCCATCTCAAAGGATTGCTCCGTACTTTGAGCGCTGATGCGCGCGAGGCAAACTGCCTCATCAGCTTCTCAGCATCGTGAGCGTGGACATCCCGTTCGGTCAGTCATCTGCCTTGACTTCCACCCTTGGTCCATATGTGAGCATGTAAACATTCTAACTCCTCTTGCGATTTCGATTTCGCTGTTCCCGAAGCCACTAGTGTGTCCCAGTACACGAGGAGATTTCAGAGATAGCGCAACATTGCAAAGTCATTGAGACTTCGTAAAACTTCGTTCATCCTTCGCCCACAGCCCAGACGTTCCGGCCTCTCCGGAGCACGTCTTATCGCTTCGCCTTTGACAGTTCTGGAAATACAGTCTTCCATCTTCAATCTTCTCCACCCCTGATGCCCTCGCGGAAAGAACCTGCCATCCTATATAAACTCAATTGCGGACTTTCGGTCATGCAGAGGATCATCAGGCACCACCGCCTCATCCCCAGCCTGGCCTCTCTCTCTCCCCTCTCCTTCTTCTACCGCCGCTGGCGAGGTTACACTCCACTAGAGGCCGACGTTGTAGAGATGAGCTCACGAGGGTCTGGTTCGTACGACGAGAAGGTCGACATCAAGGACGGAGTTTCAGGGGTCGCTGTCTCTGAGCTCCCACCCCACCATGTTGCCTTCACCAACGATCAAGTTGATACGGCCGCCCAGCTCGTCGCTGGTCAAGACTTTGATCTTGATCCGGCTGAGGGAGCGCGAATCAGGAAAAAGATTGACTGGCATATCCTTCCCATGATGTGCAGTAGGTATCCACTGCATTGCGACCGCACATACACCTGCTCAGTTAGGTCACAGTGCTCTACTGGGTCCAATTTATGGATAAGACCACTCTCGGCAGCTCCGCAATCCTGGGCATCAGGTAGGCTGCTCTCGTGAGCTCGGTATAACCACGACTGATTATCAACACAGACAAGCAGCTCACCTGACGACCAATCAGTGCGTACACGTCATACTCACAGATGCAGCATGCTAACGGGTTGATACTAGATACAACTGGCTCGGCACGATTTTCTATCTGAGCTACCTTGTCTTCGAGTATCCGCAAAACCTTGCTTTGCAGCGATTCCCTGTCGGCAAATGGATGAGGTACAGCAAGGTTGTCTCTTCGCAGAGCTCACAAAGCTAACACTCGCTTTGCAGCATCAACATTTTTGTATGGGCCGTTGCCTTGTGTAGCCACGCGGCTTGCAAAAGCTTCGCGAGTTTGTTCGTCGTTCGCCTTATCCTCGGCATGTGCGAGGGTTCCATCACTGCGGGCTTTATGATCGTGAGCTCTATGTTCTACACCCGCACGGAACAGACGCTACGTGTCGGCTATTGGTGTGAGTTTTTCGTCCTGAATGCCTTCTCACGTCACTGAGCAGCCCTGAACACTAGTCTTGATGAACGGCACTGGTATGCATTTTGCGAATGGGCAATGTTCTCATTGTATATTAATTTGCTGTTCGCAGCTCAAATTATTTCCGGATTCATTAGCTTTGGTGCTCTACACATCAGCACCCCGAAATTTGAGCCGTGGCAGTGGTCCGTTCCCTTCCACATCTATTCTTCTGCCGGAATCTTGACTTTGTCGGCAGGCTAATGGTCATCACCGGTAGCATTACGCTTTGTAATGCGATCGCGTACTGGTTCTTCTTCCCTGACTCGCCCACAAATGCCTGGTTTCTCACACCGGACGAACGTGCCAAGGCTGTGCAGCGCATCAAAGGAAACCAAACCGGTGTCGAGAACAAGCACTTCAAGCTTGAGCAGTAAGCCACTCATAGTTTCCTGCCGCGTCACTTAGATTCACAACCTCGGATTGCGCCAGGGTTCGCGAAGCTCTGCTTGACCCAAAGACCTGGCTCTTCGCGCTTTTCAGTGCGGTGGATAACATCCCGAACAGTCTGACGAACCAGCGCCAGATCATCGTCTCATCCTTCGGTTTCACGGCGCTCCAGACGACACTCCTTGGCTGCGTCGATGGCATGATCGAGATTGTCACCATCTACGTGGGCGTGACTATCGCAGCAAAATTCAAAGACTCACGCGCATACGTCGGAGCAGTGTTCTTTATTCCCAATTTACTGGGCGTGCTGCTGGTCAACCTATTACCGTGGTCGGACAAGGTCGGTTTGCTGTTCGGACAGTGGCTTACTGGTGAGTTCAAACGCAGTCGCGTGGCACGTAGATGCTGACATACCCATCAGGTGTCGGCACAACAGGCTTCGTTCTCTCGCTCTCCTGGCTCTCGAGCGTCACCGCAGGGCACACGAAGCGTGTCACAGTCAATGCAATCATGCTCATCGCGTACTGTGTCGGCAACGCCGCGGCGCCGTTCATGTGGCAGGCAAAGTACCAGCCGCGGAACCATATCCCGTGGACGATCATCGGCATCTCCTACGTTGTCTGTCCGATACTCATGCTCATCATCCGCTGGCTGCTCGCGCGCGAGAACCGACGCCGCGACGCTGAGCCCGTCGACGATAGATATGATGACGTCTATGTTGAGATTACCACTCCTGACGGGAAGAAGATTGAGAAGAAAGTGTCCAAGGTGCGTTTGTTCGTTTGTTTCCACGAGAAACAGGAGGATGTTGATACTTGTAACAGGAATTCCTGGATCTTACGGACATTGAAAACCGGGACTTCCGCTATGTGCTGTAAAGTCTCATGTGACGGGAGATATAGCATTCATACTAATCGTTACGACTGTACGAATACGTATCGAATGTATGTATGATAAGTGTAGTATACATTAATTCTTCGTGAGAATGGTCGCCGCTGGAATATCCCTATCCTGTCGGGGTGCCTAAGTACGAACTCGCTACTGAGTGTTATGTAAAACGAAGCCAGACTCGGGATACAGAATTTGGATACCGTGCGAGCGCTAACCGATCAAACCGTTTGTTGCGTCGCGCTCTAGTCCCTCTAGCATGTCTACACCTCTTGCTTACACCCTGTAAGTCCACTCTGTCTTGCTCCGGTTAAGACTACTTCTTAAGCTTGAGGCCTTGAGAACTGTGGCTCAAATGCCCCTCTTACCCCCCCCCCCCGGCATCCACAGCGGTTGACGCATCAAATGGAGCATGCCTTGCCTGTGCCATGCAGAAGCCGGCAGGCAGACAACAACACACCTAGCGATCGGTTATAAAAACACAAGACTCAATGCAGATAACCTTTCCCGCTTTTGCAGTCATCTAGACGCTCCTTCATATCCTGAAGCTCGACTTCTTCATGCCACTTACGACCCCGTCGAGAACGAGCAGGCCCGTCCGCGAGTCTTGGGCAGTCTATGACAACCTCATCGAGAAGGCTTTTGCTCCACGAGACTCCCTTGAGGTGTCGACACCGACGCAGTCACCGACACTCCATTCTCGTGAGGTAGAGCCAGCTCTCCCTGACATACCCGAAATACCACCATTATCGGCAGATGAGAAGAGCCGAGAGGCAATCGAGGCGCTATGGGAGCAGGTACTTGAGCGGAAGGCTAAGGTCCTAGCTAGTCTACCTAGCAAGGTCGAGTCGTTGGAGGGTGTGTTGCCCATCGAGAGGGCACCGACCACATCATCGTCACCGCCGCCGAGACTACGACGAAAGAACAGGTACGATGCTTCGCGGTATTATGTCCGCACGTAGGGATCTGACATTCGGCTAGTGCGGAGTTCGGGCTGTCACCTGACGGCAAATTGGTACGCCTCGCTGTTCTGCAGCATCAGCAGCAATGACGGACTAATATGCATACAGATTGTGTCGACATTTGATATGACCGATGTTGGCAAGCAAGACATGCACGTCAGCTTCAAAGGCAACAAAATCATCGTGGCGTGGCGTCGAGTGAAGATCACCGAGAAGCGCGAAGATGACGCACTAGTCCGAGAGCGGAAAGAGAAGCAGTACAGCCAAATTATTCCTCTACCGGATGGAACCTCGGTGCGGTCATTTGCGCCTAAGCACGGCAGCATATGCTAACTATCCTTCCAGTTTGATGAAGTTCGCGCCGTGCGCACTGGCTCAACTCTCATGGTGACATATCCTAACTTACGTTGCGTACGGGTGAACGCGACTGATACATCATCGGTATGTGGTCATCGTGCCGAGATTACAATAGCGACATTGACATATTCTCAAGACGGTCTTTTCATCTGGCGAGACTGAATTTGGCACCTGTGTAACACCTACCGGAACGCTCTTCGAGGCTATGGAAAAGCTCTGGAACAAAAAGTCGTGAATGCTTGCCGAGGGCTGGCCCCTCGAACTCTTAGGTTGCGCAAGTTAATGATTATACTTTGCAAGCGTGCGTATATGTAGAGTAGTAGATTAGTCCTCTTTGATTATTGTTAGCTCCTGAAGCAGTGCATGGCGGCCCGGACTGCTGCGTCTGATCAATGAATCCGGTTGACGCAACCTTTCAAGTGGGTGCAGCTTCCCCAGATTTGTCACCCGTGTCATGATTAGGGCCAGGTCACATCGATATCGTTATACACGCCCAGTACAAATTTTGTCTCAGCCCTCGTGCCGTGCCGTCTCGCACAATGTCCCCGCGCCGACAGATAAGGAGTTATGCCGGAGTGTGAAAGTACTCACTCGAAACATATAAAGCAGCATGTCAGCGTGTGGGGAGCAACCACCCAGAGACGTCTGTACTACTGGCTACAATGTCCTACACACACCAAACCGACGGCGCCCCGGTGCCTCTCGACGAGAGCATGTATCGCTTGGAAGCGGAAGACTACGAATTTCTCAGTTCTGCGACGGGTATCAATGATCCAGAAGAGCTCAAGAAACATGTTCTCTCAGTGCAAGCTGAGATATACACCGTACGTGTCCGACATTTCTTCTGTGGCTTGTGTTCATCTGAGGTCACGGGCGCGGTATTTCAGGTCCACCCATACCATTGTATTCGTGCATTCGGGTTCGCAAGGTCAGATCCAATCGTCTTCGCATGAGAGGAAGCCTCGACTCATATTATCCTTTATCTTCAGGCTGAAAATCTCCCGCTTTCCCGCATACCAGCACCTCCTCAAGCTTGGGAAAGAGCGCCTGGGCGCTCTGTTCCTTGACCTCGCGTGCTGCGTGGGCAACGATGTTAGGAAAGCTGTTGCCGACGGATTTCCCGTGAACCAGGCCATAGCATCGGATCTGCACCCTGGTATGCCACAAACATGTTTGTGCTGTGCGCTGCATGAAACTTACCAAGTCTATTCTTAGAATTCTGGGAAATGGGGCACAGGCTCTTCAAGACGACCCCAGAGACGTTCCCAGTGCCGTTCATCCCTGCTGATGCCTTCGATGACAGGTATCTCGCCCCCTCTCCCATCCCCACGGAGCCGCCCACGGAGCCGCTTTCTCCCCTCAACGAGCTTGAGGCGCTCACGCCCCTTGTCGGCCGGCTCTCCGCAATCCATACCTCCGCGTTCTTTCACCTCTTTCCAGAAGAGAAGCAGCTCGAGCTCGCCCGCCGCATCGCGCCCCTGCTCTCCCCCGAGCCAGGGAGCATCATCTTTGGCGCGCACGGCGGGCTACCGCAGAAGGGCTTGCGCGAGCGCAAGAACTCGCACGGGATCCACATGTTCTGCCACGACCCGCAGAGCTGGAAGGAGCTCTGGGAGACGCAGGTGTTTCGGCCGGGCCAGGTTAAGGTTGAGACGCATTTGGTCGAACGCGTGAGGAACGACCCCGCGGTCAAGGAGGTTGTTAAGAACTATCACCTGGTTTGGTCGGTGACCAGGTTATGAGGATATCTCCGCGGTAGAGAAATTTTCTGCTTAAAGTCGTCAAATAGTGAATACGATAGTACTAGACGGGGAATTAACACGCTTGTAGATAGTGTTGGAAGTGAACTGACTTCGCGGACGGAGTCCTGATTATGGCAAATAGATTATAGGAAAGGAAGAGCAAAATATCCTGGATGTCAAGTGTGTGAGATATTTTTTTAGCAGTGAGTACAGCCTTCCTGCCATTGTCCGCTGAGACCAGACTAGGCGCCAGCATGGTGGCGCCGGCGTCTCTCATCGAAAAATGTCGAAGACGCTGACGAGCTCGTCGAGCAGTGGGAAACCTCGTTGTAGCCATAGTATTGGATGGGCGGCATGATTCAAGGCCGGGCTCTGTCAATGAAACATTGAAGACCGTGTCAGATCATAGAGACTAGTACTCCCTTCAAGAGCCGAATGTTGGGCTTCTCGCTCTCGCGACGCGAGCCGTGATCCAAAGAAAGAGAAGCAACACACGTATTCAAGTTCAAACGTCCATGATAGCCTGCAAGACGACATCATGATTGGATGACCAAGTAACAGCGCTGGGATATTCAGCATTATAACAGGGTGCAGAGCAAAGTGATGGAGGTTGAAGCGAGGGTCAGAGAGAAAGGAGTATTCGTGCTCCAGTAGGGGCGGGCCCGCACCGTTTTGTGTCCGTAGGCACAAGCAATGAGTGCTAAGACAGTGAAACTGTCTTCCTAGACAGCGCGTAAGACCGTAAAGCGGCAGCACTGATTGAATAATGACCAAAGTCAAATGGGTGGCATCCCAATAAGAGGATATAAGGCTCACAAAGTCTCAATGAAACGGACGAAGGATAGGGCTCCAGTTGTGGTTCCACCCATCCCTCGGAGGCGTGTCTGCCGGGATCCGAAGCTCTCTTGGGAACAGCCCTCGTATCCTCGACTCTAACGCCCTCTTCTCCGCACCTTTGATGTTCTTGAGGGCCTCCAACTCGGCCGGACTCCTCTGCCTCGGGTCTTCCTCCTTGTTCGCCTCGGTGTATAACCGGGTGTCGAGCTCACGAAGTGCGTCCATCGCGCCCTTCATGGATTCGAACTTCCTCTTCAGCTCCGCCTCGCGTGCCTTGCGAATGTGACGCTTATGCAGGAACCACGCCCGCTCGATGGTCTCATGTGCTTGAACGGAGGGAATCGCGCGCTGGAGGCGGCGTCCGACACTGGGCCTCCATAGGCCTGTCGGGCTTTCGCGGTTGCGTAGGTTCGAAGGGTAGAGCGTGCGCCGGATGATCTCGACGCGGGGGTCGGAAACAGCCTGCTCGCGCCAGGCTACGCCACCGGCATGGCGGACGGACTGGCGGATGGCTGGGAGATGAAGTTCTGGTTTGGCTGCTCGCAGTGCCAGCAGAGAGGGTCCAGATAACATGGTAGCTTGCAAGCGCGTCGTGGGAAACGCAGAAATCTTCAGACGCTTCTCTAGTGGGCGTCTGCAGCATGCTACTTGCGCCCGCTCGATGTTGCGCCGACGTCGACCGGCACACGAAAGTGCCTAGTACAATGTTCGGGGGCTTACAGCAGTTGCTACAGCAGCTAAGGTTGTAATACACCACTGTGTAAACGCCCTGTGCTATCGACCTAATGCTCCAGAACATCCTCAAGTCATCTGACAGCTCTTCTCGATTCAGACCCTGCTCACATGTGCTCAATGGTTGTATGCCTACCACCACACATTGTCTGCTGCGCGGGCCGCTGACTGACACAAGGCATAACCTCGTAGGTTCTCTGCGACCGGATTTCGTTAAATGCTGTGGATCGTGAGCGACGATCCGTATCATCGAACGAACTCTGGCCATCCTGTACTCGTCCTTCATGTTACTCGCGACTTTGTTGATATGCCTGGCCTGTGCTTGTACAGTATGGACTGCAAGTACTCCTCAGGCCGTTGGCTTCCCCCAGATCGCCTCACCGCCTAGCAATGCTTCGCAAATGTTGGATCCCCGGCTGGCCTCATTATCTATAGAGTTCTCTTACCTGACTGCGTTTGGCGGGAACAAGACGGACCCGAACTTGTTAACGAAAGAGCTGATGCAGCGTCTTGTAGAACGTACTGGTGTTGGTCCGGTAGGTATGATTTACTCGAACTCAGCCTACGATGGGCTATAACCTCGGTTCCGCAGGACGTGCGTCCAGGAGGCATCACGGTGTATGTATCAAAAGGCTCCATGGCGTGGCATTTTTGACACACTTTTGTGCCCCTGGTTAGTGACAGCACCATCTTTTCACCGGACGCACCTGCCCTTGTACTGGACGAAAGCTCTGTAAGACGAATCCTTGCTTAATTGTCTTGGTGCTTAGTCCTAAATATCCGCAGTCTGGTGGTATTTATCGCACTACTTTGTGAGCTTTTGATACTTTACCGAGAACTGAGCGGCGTAATCAGTTCGTTACAGCGGTCCGGCCCTCTACGAGTCTCTGCTAGTGTTCCCCAATTCGACGAAGTTTGTCGTCACTGTCAACATGGGCAATGACACGATCTTGATAGCGAGAGACGAAATAGCGGCCGCTGTTGAGTACATTGGCTGGGATAGAATCCGTGCTATAGAGCGTGGGTCTTCTGATCACTTCAAACGACATCAAGCTTCTGACATTGGGGAGCGCCAGTCGGTAACGAAGCAGACCACTACGCTGGCAGTTCCAGGCCTTCCGGATGGGCCTCGTCCGACTACACTGCGCAGTTCCTGGTGAGTCGTGAAGAGCATCTATGCCTGCGTACCCTCATTATACTCTGTAGGGATGGACCTCTGTTCTCTCCCGCAATCTGTCTCTCCCCCCTCACATATTCCAAGCTGGAGGCTTTGCCGATGATCCTACACCCTCGGCATTAATGACTACTGTCGATATTATCAACGAAGGCGTGGACACAACCCGCGTAATTGAGCTGTTCGCTCAGCATACGTACCAGTATTCGACCTGCGATCCGGTGCGAAATGCTATTGCTACTCTGCCAAACTTGATTAACCATCAGAACATCACTGTGAGCCTTCCCTAACTTTTAACTATGTCAGTCCTTATTGTACCCCCGTAGGCATACCTCGATCTCTGGAAGCCACAGATTGCTGCTGCAAAGAGTCGCGGCAAAGATTTCGTCGTCGGGGAGTTCAGCTCCGTATCATGTTCCGGTAAGGAGAACGTGACCGACACGTTTGGCCAAGCTCTATGGTTAGCAGACAGTGGGTATCTATTCCTGTTGCGATTTTTGGAGCATACTGATGTATACTAGCGATCCTGTACGGAGCCGCGCTAAACATATCGAGGATGTACCTCCATCAAGGAGCGACTCTAGTTTTCCAGAGCAGCGTCCAGGCGAACAGCCCCGGATTTTCCTGGGTACGCCTTTCTCAACATCAATTGCATGCCACTGAATTTGGTGTTAGTACGATCTCTGGTACCCGATCCCGACCGATCGTTACGGCTCTGCGCGAGCTTCACCTTCCTTCGTCGCCTACCTGCTCATAGCAGAAGCCGTAGGTCCGTCGACCCAGTCCCAACTTGCGCTTCTTCCTTCCCCTGAAGGGCTGCTAAACCTTGCCGCCTACGCGATATGGGACCCCGCCGTCCGAGCCATGCACGACGGCCCAGCGCGGCTGGCGCTCCTCAACTTAGCAATACGTAACGTAAGCACGAGCCAGAGCGCGGGCGAAGTTCAGGTAGACTTGACCGCGTGGACAAGAAATGGGACCCAGGCGAGGGTGAAAAGAATGACGGCGCCCGGGCTTGACTCGAAGGATTCCGACACCGCGACGTGGGCGGGACAGAGCTACACGAATGGGACTGCAAGTGGTGATGAGAATATTGAGCAGCTGGATGGCGGGAAAGTCGCAATCAAGGGGAGTGAAGCTGTCCTGGTGTTTTTCTGAACGCGTATAAATCCAGACATTCCATTCATCCCTGTACGTCTACACAAGTGGTGACCTCTACGATACATCCAAATATCCAAACCGTATATCCTACAACCTCCAGATGCTCTAATTGTCGTTGATCTCTACCACGACCCTCTTCTCTTGCTCCTCGCCCACGGTGACGATCTCGTGCCTTTCGATATGTCCATCCATCTCCCTTCTCCGATCAACCTCCAAATAATAATCGTTCTCCTGTGCGGTGGGGCTTGAGCCAACCCACTTCCACGCGTTATCCCGCACAAACTCCGCGTAGTCCCAAATGTCAGGACTCAGTTCACTGATGGGCTGTATCCAGATATAGGTGCTTGCCTCGATTGCGGGGTGCGTGCTGGGCAGGTTGGCGACGAACTCGGAGGAGAGTGGCGGAGGAGTCGTAGGGACTATAGCCGAGTCTTTTGCAGCAGACTCGAGAGAACCGAAGGGACCGAGCGGGTGCACGGAAACCTTTGCACGTACGTACTCCTGTAAAGCGATCGAATCAAGCAGGATTCGGTGTATGAAGGAGTGTACGAACATCGCCTTCGAATGTGTCGAGCAGACGGATATCGTTGATGTTAAGTCCACTCACGAGCGTCCCGCGGACTGCGCGATCCTTCGGCGGGAGCTCCTTTCCAAGAAGTTGGCGACTCTTCTTGTAGGATATGAGGCCTGGGTAGTCTGCATGCTACGGGAGCAAGCGGGTCATCAACTAGCACGAGTGCCGCGGCTAACGAGAATCTTACTTGAACTTTATGTCTGGTGTGTTCCTGAAGCAGTCGTAAGGGTGATAGACGGTCACGGATGGAGAAATGACGATCTTTAGACATGTGTAACTCACCAGTAAGAGGGCAGGGCAGATCTCGAGATCGGCACCCTGGTGTCCTATGACCCTCCTGAGGATTGCAGGATGGAGCAGGGTACCATAGAAAAAGGCCGTGTATACCTTTTGCGCTGACATTGTAACCTAACTACCCTCGACGCACGCAGCAAGGTCCGTATGTGGGAGGATAGAGGAAATATGCCGGAGGGCGCGATCGGTAAAGATAACGGAGGGATTAGATTAGATAACTCCGATCTAAGTACACGATATGATCAGCCTCTCGGAGGACGACCTTCTGGCCGCGGCTCTGCGTTCTCCACGACTGTCTGTCTTCCTTCCGCTGCCAGCCCGCCTCGCAGTTTGCCCAGGACGGACTTCGGCTTTTTTTGCGAACGCACGGGCATCCCGCCCTGGGACACCTCACATGCACCTTCTAGACAAGCTCCTTTAGACTAGACGACCGCGACTTGCGCGGTTATATTTCGAGGACCACCACTGTCACGGCTCCACCTACTTACGCACAGACGGTCGCTACCCTTCCTTAACTCCTCTCTTTTCCCTTCCACTCTTACAAGCATATACTTGCTCGCAATTCACCTCTCCTCAGGTCATCGAGCGTTCACTAGACGACAGTGTCTCGATACTGCAGACGTCATGTCTTGGTATTCAGCCCCTCGAAGACGCAATAAGACAAGGCCGACCCTCGCAGCTCTTGCGTCCTACACAGCCCTCGCCGTCTTCCTCTCTGTATTTCTAATCCTTGGACTCTTCAACCGTGTAGAGCTACCCTACAAAAAGAAGCGTCCGCAATATAGTGAGTATTGTGCTTTGACCGTGTGGCATTCACTGAACCGAATCCCCTACAGATTTCCCGGATTTTGATAGGATTAATACATTAACTCGTGTGCTCACCAGGGACCATGTCGACCTTAGTATGTTCCTTCGACGGTGAATTTTATGCATACGCCTCATGCACCGGACAGGAGATCTTCACGGTCGGATAATATTCATAGGAGACGTTCATGGAATGAATGACTCGTTACAGTATGTTCCACTACAACCTCCCGGTACACTACCTACTAACTATCCTCAAAGTCGGCTTTTAAAGCAGCTAGATTATGACCCAAGTCACGACACAATCTTTTTCGCCGGCGACCTTCTGGCAAAGTCGTCGCATTCCTCTTCTCTCTCAGTGCTAAGCTTCCTTACCGAGCACCACATGCGCAACGGCGTGGAGAGAATGTTCCCGGTGCGCGGAAACCACGACCAGATGATCGTCCAATGGCGCGCGTGGCGGGCGTGGTTCGAAGGACTTACCCTTGACCCTCACGCAGCCTCGCAGACACCTCGCTTCCTCCCTTCCACGCGACTCATCGCATTTGACTGTCATCTGTCATCTTTCCTCAAGCAGTTCTTCACTCAGTCTGCTGCGGATGCTAGTGACAGTGTTCCACCGGTTTCAACAGGACGCGAGTTCCTCCAGCTCCTCGAGGCCGAATGGGCAATTGCAAGAGCAGAGGACGGCGCAGACCCCGAGGAATATACAGATGTTGCCCGAAAGCGGGCACAGGGTACTTGGAGAGCAGAGTGGTGGAAGCGTATACCTTTGCCTGGCAAAGGCAGGGAGAAGCAGCAATGGAGGATGTTTGGAGATCACTACTGGCTGGCCAGGTATATGCATATTATTCTCATCAGAAATCAATTCAGCCACTCACGAGTATCGCTGTGACAACAGGGATATGACGCAGGAACAGGCAGATTACCTGATGTCGCTTCCCCTCGTCCTTCACGTGCCGCATATACATTTTTTCGTCGTTCATGCAGGTCTTCTACCCTCAGATCCCCGTCTGCCTCCAACGGACCGTAATCAACCTCTCGCTCACGCTCCTGCATTTACCCGGCGAGTTTTCGGTGGCGCAGATGAGGGCGACACAGTTCTTCTATCAAGACTACAGGCCCATCTACTTCCACAAGAATCCGCCAAGAATTCTTTTGCCGCGTTCAAGCCCTCACGCGATTCTGACACTAGCGCCATTGAAGACCTGCGCCGGCTGCAGGAGGCCGCAATCCTCAGCGACATCCCGCAGAACCGCGACCCCTGGGTCGTTCTCAACATGCGCAGTGTCACGAAGAAGAAGCACAAAGTGACGCGCGAGGGAGACAAGGGCACGCCGTGGAGCAAACTCTGGAACGAGGAGATGAACGCTTGCAAGGGCTATGACGTCGAAGCGGCCACGCGTTCGGAGCCAAGGGGCTACGAGCTGCCATGCCATCCTGCGACAGTCGTATACGGCCATGCCGCGACACGGGGCTTGGATATCAAGCGTTGGAGCATGGGACTCGACACTGGATGCTTGTACGGGCGGAAGCTGACCGCGCTCGTCCTTAACAACTCGACCGACTCTGGCGTAGACGATGTCTGGGATAACGAAGACGACTGGGATGAAGACGAAGACGAAGACGACGATGAAGAGGACGATGACGACGAAGAGGCCATTCCGAGGCCAAGGCGAAAGCGATTACAGTTTGGGGATCCTGGCTCGAGGGTTAACGCTAAAATTGTTAGCGTTAAATGCCCAAACATAGATGATGACGATGACTAGTTCCATTTTCTTACTGCCTTTCTTCACAGCAATTGTCATGTATCTTTATCATCTGTAAGATTTGTACCATACCTTAACTGGCGCACCCTACGACCGTTGAACGTTGAACAGTAGATATTCGTATTTAGCATCTTTAGCACTTCTGGTAGCGTGAATGTATCCGCAATGGCTACACCCAAGCCACACCACATGTGCACTGTTTTTCTGACACTCTTGCAAAGACACATCATCCCAGTTCTTACTGTGTGCTTTTAATTAGATGTGTCGACGAGCCCAAAGAGTCCTCATAAGCCGTCGCACCTAAGCCGGGCTCGATCCCAATCCTGAATACCTGCCAAACACGGTAGGCCGACACCTTAAGCGCCCGCTGCCGATCATCACCCCCGCCCACTTCCAAATACCCGCACATCCCGACCCCCTTGCTCTCGCTTCCGACGTTTCACATCCCGGATGTCCTCTCAACGGCGACGGCGCAGAGTATGTAACCTCTGTAGTTGTCTTGCGCCTGCCTTTGCGGGACAAACCGTCGGCGGAACGTCCTACAGCGGCGCCCACCGACAAACAAACGAGCGCAACAGGTCGTTCCGCCACTTGTTGTGCTCGTCAACAAGACCAACGTCAAGAAATCCATAAATCCATCGCAGGGAGCGAGAGAACCTCAGAACATCTTCAACTCGTCTACCCATCATCTTTGCTGGTCAAAGATACCTTCTGCGACATTACAGTTAATTCTTTCTTATTCGCATTCTTAACACTATGACTGTCTACTCTTCTCACTTCTTCCCCACTTCGCCCGCTGGCTCTGGTAGTAAGTCGTCATCTAACCTCAGGCTTCCGTCGAT